AAAAAAATCGAAAAATATTTTTTTAAATGTAAGAAAATGCTGATTTTTAAAAACTTTAAGCCACATTCTGGAAATTGGAGATTCGTGAAGTGGCCGTGAAGAATTGAGCATTCCTTGATGGCTCCATCCCGTTCTGTACCGGCCGAAAGTCGTGCGGGCACTCACAAGTACCATGCTCTTGCTCGGAAATGAGGGCTCTTGACTCGGTGGGAATCCACCTAAGTGTCTGCAGGTCTTCGTCTTCGCCTTGCAGGCGTGCTTGAGCCAAACCTCAAAGCTCAAGTCATTCTCGGCATAACTACGCGTACGAACTGGACTTTTTCAGCTGGTTTTCTCCGAGTTGGACTCTCAAGCGCATTTCACAAGCTCTACCATTGAACTTAGAAATGTAGTAGCTTCCTTATTTGGCGCGAATGCTTTCAAAGTCATACCAACTTCGGAAGCTCGTGAGAAGCAGCCGTAGTTTGATAATTTATTTCGACGAGGAGATAAACAAAACGCATCGAAACATCGAAAACAGATTAAGCGCGTTATTAATTGTCTTTTCAGCCATTAGTAGCCATTAGTGATTGAATTTATTTCAGTTTGGTTAATCTTTATTGTTTTCCACATTAATTATCAACTTGAGTTTATCTTTTCTTAAGAAAACAAAAAATATCAACAAGTTAACTGTTTTAACTCATTTTTTACAAAAAATCAAGAAATGAAATTTTAAAGAATAATAACTCATCATTTACAAAAGGACACTTCCAACCCTTTTAATACCAAGGGTGGGTGTTTTGACCTAATGTGGAATTATAAAATAAAATAGGATTTAATCCTCGTGCGGTTGCTGCGGGGGTGCGGCTTATCCGTGAACCCTTCAAGATTTGTTATGCACCGAAAGCGCCGGTATAATCACACGAATGTTTATCGCATTGTTACGCATGCAATAATATTAAAATTTAACGCCTACAATTTGTTTGCCCGGCGGGCGCTTAACAGCTTACCGGGCCACAGCAATAATTTCTCAAGTGGACCCGTCGTAAAGCGACAAAAAATATAATGATACGCTCAAGTGACCGTTTATGATTTTCATGGAATTTCATACGACTGTAATTGCATACTGCCACACAAATTACTTTATTTCTCAAGCTGGCAGAGATAAAAATGTATTCCCGGAAATTCACACAACTTTCTTTTCTTTGTAAAAAATTAACCTCAATTTTAGGGATTTTAGGGTTATTTTTTGTTTTCACTAAAAGAAAATTTTATTTTTTTGAAGTTATGATGTGTTCCTGTGTAAAAATTTAGTTTTTTTCTAAACTTGACATAATAAAGTGGTTTTCTGTGTAAATTTAGCCTCAAAAATAAAAATGGTAACAATTTAGGGACTTTTATTTTTATTTTTGAGGTTATGATTTGTTTCTGTGTAAAAATTTAATTTATTTCAAAACCTAACAAAGATAAAAATTAATTCCCTGAAATTCACATGCTTAACTTCCTTTTCTTTATAAATTTAACCTCAAAAATTCATTTGGTAACATTTTAGGGAATTTTACTTTAATTTTTGAGGTTATGATTAATTCCTGTCTACCTAATATTCTTCCCAAATAATAAAACACATCGTACACCATAATACTTGTTAATAAACGCACTAATAAATCTAGAAAAACTGATTTACTCCTGTAATTACCACATAATAATTACATCGCAGTTATAAAACGTAACACATTGTTGCGCTCTTGCACAATACGACCGAATGTCGGCTGTTGGCGTCGTAAATAAATATCTACTTTACGAGAAACAGCCGTGTCCCACGGCGCAAAAAAATATGTCCGTAAAATTATAACCATTTAACCATGTATCGCTTTTGATAATAAAAGACCCGCCGCAATTTAAATAAAAACCGCACCTTCGACCGGCAAGAGAACTTTGTGTCTGCCTCGATACACCGACAATCCATATTTGGTGAATGCAAACAAACTCGTTTACGTTTACCGCGGTACAGTAATATACGAAGAACTGAAGAACTAACTGAGTACCAGTGCATATAAGTATAGTGTTGTATAAGGAAAAAGCTTCTGATTACGTTATTTCTACGTCCTGCCATATGGTCGGTAACCCTTTTAAAAATCCGACTTAAATCAATTTATGACCATAAAAAAAGCGAGGAATATTCAATATTTGTGATGTTTGATGCCTCAAAAATAGTATCTTGTCTATTTTAAGAAGAAATAACAATTTTTATCAATTTTTACGACCGCTGAGCACTTAAACGAAACGCCGCCGCCGTCGACGTCTTAAAAGTAATAAAACCCACTTGATAACACAAGATATTAATAACGCCCTGATGAGGGTTGCACTCCAGCGGAAGTTTAATGTTTGACTCTCGACAAACAACATCCAGAAGATCCCTGAACACGAAGAAAACTTACATTGCTTATCATCCCCTATCATTTAGGTCACAGTTACACTATCTGTTTTTATTTTATTACTAAACCGACAATAGTTTTACGATCTCACAACCAATCAATTATACTCGTCTGTATATTATGTGGTGTGACCTAGTAATTTTTGTAAAACGAAGTGAAATTCAATTGTGCCGTAATGAAATAATTAGAAGCGTCACGCACGCACGCTCGCATCAATCATCTCGTTGTTAAACGCCGCTGTTAACGTGTGTAAAAAATACGTAAAACTTGCGTTTTTGTTTATTTGAATGACCGTAAAAACTTTCTCTTCGCGTAGGAAGTGTGGTAAACATATTCACGGGAGGAGTAAAGTAGATGTTAGTTTAAATTTAGCTCGCAATTAAACGCACGCAGTGTAATCACATTTTAATACCGTCCTCAAGACGTGTTTACAATTTACGATTCCGGTGAAATTGTGGTAAGCTGCAAGGGTTTGGAGAGTCGGGTAAATTATGCCCAGGAGATTTACATTTTCTTAAAACCCTCTCGCTGTACACGAAAATACGTTGGGTGTAGTTCTTAAATTAGGTTATGTATGTAAAGTATAAATACTTTATGGAAAGATTAAAATTTATTTTTAAAAACTCACATAATTTTCATTTCTTCATAAATTTAACCTCAAAAATAAAAATATGGTAATTACTTAATGATTTTTGTTGATTTTGAGGTTATGTTTGGTTTCTATGTATTAATTTACTTTATTTCTGAGCATGGAAAAGATATAGAAGTATTTCTAGGAATTCACTTTTTAAAACCCTCGAAAACCTCTTTCGACACAATAATCTATTGAAAATACGTTGAGAATAGTTCTTAAATTAGGTTATGTATGTTTATACCAAAGCAAAATATAAATTCATCATAAAAACAAAAAAATTCGAAATATTTTCCTCCGCATTGCAATTATAAAACGATTTTAGTAATATTAGCACAAATTGCAACCTTTTCCACTCTCTCTCAATCCAAGACTGAGGTAGAGAAATAAATTGATGAGCAAAGAAGCGCGAAGACACATCAACGCACACAAAGCCATCCGCCGATGGTCCAGTGAAGCCCCCAATGGTCAGAACGAGTATTTTCTAACCATATACCTCGGCCCACCAGTCACGCCGCACGTTACACGCTCAACAAATCCATCCTTTTCTATAAAACCACCATGTCGTTCAAGGTACACTACAGAGAAGAGAAACACACCAAGGTAAAACGTGGTATAGAGGTATAGAGACCGTGATACGACCCCAACCGGCTTCACGAGCGAGAGGAATCTTCACACACCATCAACATTCCCAAGGTGAACGAAAATCCCATCGGAACGAAACTCGAAACTTGCTCGCACACTCACAGGGCGGCGAAAAATACACACAGAAGAGGAAACGCCACCCGATGCGTACAAAAGGGCATCAACTTCTTGGAAAATATGAACAGAGAGCTAAACCACGCTTAATAAATGAAAGCAATGAATGAAATACTTAACAGGAAGTTCAATAAGCAGAAAAGTCACACTTTTAGGAGAATTAAATTCTTCTAAGTTAAGTTCAATATCATGTTGTAATTAGTTATTGATCACGGCGTGAACTCAATTCGCCGCACTTTCAAGGCTTCCCTTTCATGTGAGATCCAGTTTTATGACATTGCAAGACTAAGAATAGGACGAAGTAAAATAAATTAACAGTTTCCTCTGCGTGTGAAGTCAACTTCCGATCAGCTGGCAACTTTTTAATTTCAAGTTATTTCGCTACATCCCTTCGAGCAAATTCATGCAATGATGTTCGGCAGGTAAATACTGGTCGTTTTTACCCCTCGTATAATAATGGCGGCCAAATGTTAAGCCGATGACGGACAAGCGACGGTTACGTTACTTTCCGGTTCACGCACGCTTGCACATCATTATACACGAATAGAGAAACGCGTACATCACGAATTTTTAAAGATACTCTAACAATATGATGAGTTTCAAATGAAAAATCAGAGCGCAAGTAAAAACTTCAAAAATTAAAATGTAAATTGCTTCCTTATTAGCTGTTTAACTGCGCGGCAGTATAAAACTCAATTACGTCAATTTTCACACAACAAAACCTGTAGAAATCTAACAAGGACGCAATGTTATTAACTCGGCGTTAAAGTGAAACATATCATGCATTCTAGATGAACGAACGCGGTTTGTGACCTTCACGAGTGCAATTCACGAAAATATCACAAATATCTTCGTTTTCAATGTTTATCTTTCACGTTTAAATATTTAAGTAAAATTTCTATTTGTATTCGATATCAAATACAGGATGCAAGGTGATTTTAAATAAATATTTTACTTTTTAAGGTGCTGGATGCGAAAATTTTGAATAATCGATAAATAACTAGTAGTTGTTTGATTCTTTTTTGTTTTTTGCCGCTCGCCGCGAAAAAAACGCAACAAACAAAAGCGCGCAAGGTCGTAAATACGCGTCCGCCCATTCGCTATGCATAAAATTGCTTTGTAACATCTCTCATGCCGGCAACATTTTCTCATTCAATCCACACGGGTATTTTAAGTTGGAATTTAAGCGTACTTACGAACTGAGACTTTTTTCGGATCGAAGCTGGCCACTTTGGTGTCCAGCGCGCCGATACGCAACTTGAGTTTATCCCCGCGTTCGGTGATTTGCTTCAGGTCGCGACGCAGCTCGCTGAAGATGTCGTCGGCGGCCAGCACCAACGACGCCAATTGCCGGAGAGCATTACACAGCGTGTTGTTGGCGACCGCCTCCAATTCATAATCGTCCACGAGCGGTTTACCATCCGAATCCGCTAAACTTGTCCGACTAAGGTGTTTCGGCTCCACTACACGCTGCACAAACGGCATTTCGGCGAGTAATATCTTCGAAACTTTTCCAAAAAAATAATCACATCACGTATAACTTCACTTAATCCCAAATTTGGCAGGTAAAACAATTGAATTAACTTTGTTTTAAGTTGTGAATGCACATTTTGAGTAGTAATTGTGGTATTTTTAACTTGCGATTCAAGTGGAAATTGTTTCACATAGTTTTGTATTTTGTATTTACGATCGGGTTGAACGAGTGGGTGATAAGACGCGTTATCGCGCACTGAGCGCGCGTGTTGATGCGGCAGCAACCGAGCCGAACTGCGACCGGCGTGCGAATGAAAGGAGAACGAACTAAACGCCGGCGAATGCGTCCACACGCAATGCTACAAGAAGAGGAGCTCGAACTTCAACCGTTCCACTCGCAGGTTCAAATATTCTATAGTTGAAAATTCTCTATTCGTACTGGCAGCGCCATCTGGTACCGAACTATTAAGTTAACAACTATAGAATTATAGTTTTATGTTTCAAAATTATCTCAAAACACGGATTACAAAGTTGTAAACCAGTTTTGAACAGATATTAATCAATTTCTATATAACTATACTTGTTATCATGTTTATTTTGCAGAATATCTGGGAAAAAATTACTAATTGATGAAAACTGTAGGGTTATGTCAAAAAAATGCATGAAAATGATGAAAATTTTCAAAAATTTCAGTATTTTGAAGTAAAATATGATTAAAAACAGTTTATCTCAACTATTTTGATACATTTGCCCCATTTTTTAAGTAAATTGATAGTAGACACGAGAAAAGTTTATATGTAATTTGTTTTTATTATATATTTTCCAAGATTATTAAAAACTTTTCACAAAAGACTAGAAACTTAATAACAGTTTAAAGAAAAGTCTAAGACCACATATATCATCAGAATAATAATGATAAATTAGCAACCAAAACAAATAAAAACTTCTATTTTGTCTTTGAGCTGTTCCCTCATCAATACTTTTAAAAGAAAACTACTTTCTAAGACAACCAGCATCAAGAGTAAGGTTTAAGATCAGTAAACTTAAAGTAAACCAAAAAATTACTATCTATCATCCTATAAGGGGGGAATAAGTGAAGTATAGGGATCTAAAACTGTCAAAAACAGTTATTAATCAATTTCTTGCAAACTAAACTAGTTTATTCTGTAGAATCTATTGAATTAGTTATTAATTCATGTAAAACTGCATGAAAATTTTGAATTTGCTTCAAAATAATTGACTAATCACTGTCACCTTGTCTCTGAAGTTAGATTTCATCACTTAAACCCCGTCTTAGATAAAATTACAAATCCTACATAGAAATTTAAGTCATTGTTGAATATAAAACGTCTAAAAATCCAATAATTGTTTTGCAGTTATATAGTTTCTCCTGTGCTCTCGTCTTGTGCACTATCGTTAAATTTCATACTCTTAAACTTATCGCCTAATATTCTAACATGAATAATCAACAGCACGAGGATCTGGCAGCTTCGGCTTCCACCAAATTGAAGTCCATACCGTTCGGACGCGCAAAGCCAGTCTTAATGCCATCCCAACCGTCTTCGACTTTATATTCACCGGTTTGAATACGATTATAAACTTCCTGTGTCACTTGTATGAAGGCGTCTTCAACGTTAACGCCGGTTTTCGCTGATGTTTCAAAGTAGATGAGTCCATGCTGGTTGGCGAACTCTTTGGCCTCTTCTTTGCTCACTTCCCGCTGGCTGTTGTTCGCCACTTTGTCGACTTTGCAGCCGACGAGGGCAAACACAGGTCGGTGAGGTTCAATGTGCCTTCTTGCTTCCGACATCCACTGCGGGACATGCTCGAATGTTTCCCGTTTGCAGATGTCGTATACTAATAGTGCACCGACTGAATTTCTGTAGTAGGATTTCGTTATGGAACGAAAACGTTCCTGTCCGGCTGTGTCCCATAATTGCAGCTTGATTCTTGTCCCGTCTTTTACTTCTATGAGTCTTGCAAAGAAGTCTACACCCACTGTTGGGTCAGAAATCTGAAATATTCAGTTAATATAATGAATTACTCAAAGAGTATATGAAATAAAACTAAAAATCTTTATATTTATTGAATCTAAGGTAGAAATCAAGCAAATTCTAAAGAAATGTTGAGTGTAGTTCATTATTTAACTGTAAATAACTTTATTTTTAAATTTTATACTGTCTACAAGTTGTTATAAACAAAAAATCACTGTTTTAAACAAGTTTGACATATGCTGACTTCTTCAACAAAATAAACTTATTACGTCAATGCATTCTTTAATTTCTTTACTGAAATTAATAGAGAATTTAACGTAGATTCGTCTAGTGAAAGAATTATGTTCCTAGCACGTTTAGTTCCTAAGTAAATCAACAAAAACTTAAACAAATGTTGATTTGACAATATGATGCGCATTTTTAGTTGATGCAACACTCACCTCAGCAAATTTGCCGTCTGTGAAGTATTTCAGCAGTGAACTCTTGCCAACGGTGCTGTCGCCGATGAGGATCAACCGAAATTGATAGTCGAAGATTGGCTCCACCATAATTACGCGTTATGTTCGGGGCTGGAGCATTTCATAACAACATCTTTGTTTGTGGTACAGAATGAGAATGGCAACTAAACTAACCTGACTGACGTCAACAGATGACTAAACCACATACACTGTGTTCAAAATTGCACTCGTTGCTATTAGTATTAAATTAGAACAAAGTCTATTTCGGTTGCTAGTAACAGAATGTGCAAAATAATTGATTTTGATGTGAGTATTATAAATTGTACATTCTAAATCAACACCAAGTTAAGGAATGATATTAATATATTGAATTGCGTTCATTGTGCGATTAATTAGATTCATGATACATTAATCATTGTATAAACATAAATTAATGCAGTTAAAATTGGTGACATTGGATTGGGTTGTAAATTTAACTTGTCATGCACGAAATGTATAAATAATTCGTGTATAATTGCATAAAAAGTAATCTAGAAGTAGTAAGTGAAATTTTAAGTAGAAAGAAACATGTTTTCTACTAGGATTATATACACAAAACGTATAAAACATAATTATTAATCATTTAAAAGTGGATAAATTGTAAAAGAATTTGACATTAACAATATATAGTTTCCTGTTTCCTCACAAGATGTTTGTCGCCTCTTGTTAGGCAACCAAAACAACACAAATTTTGCTCCGAGGATCGTTTGTAAACGTTTTCTCTTCGAATATTTATGAATTATCCTAAAATCAACAATTAATAAGTTGTACCAAGCATATTTAATCACCTTTATTAAATAGTAAGTAAATCTACTTTAAAATTTGATATTCCAGCTTAACTTTTCTCACATTTTCAGAATTTATATACATTCTAACCTAAAATGCCAAAATATTATTGTGATTACTGCGATACATATTTAACTCACGATTCACCCAGCGTGCGAAAAACCCATTGTACCGGCCGTAAACACAAAGACAATGTCAAATTTTACTATCAAAAGTGGATGGAGGAGGAAGCACAGCATTTGATTGATGCCACCACAGCTGCTTTCAAAGCTGGCAAGATCGCAAACAATCCATTTGCAATTCCTGGTAAAGGGGTGGCTATTCCACCTCCAACAGCAATAGCCATGGGACAGAGACCACCAGTGCCTGGTACACCAGGAATGATGCCACCAGGTAAGTTTTTTATTATCTGATTTAGTATTAAATTATGATTAAAACCATTGTTTTGTTTAGGTATGCCACCAGGAGGACCAATGCCACCCATGATGATGGGCCCACATGGACCAATGATGCCTCAGATGATGGGCATGCGTCCGCCCATGATGGGAATGATGCCTGTGGGCATGGGACCCATGACTGTTAGACCTCCAACACAACCACCTGTGCAAATGACAAAACCATAAATATTTATTGAAAAACATAATTTTAAGTTAGTAATAATTTTACAAGTGTTCTAAAGTAAGTATACTGACAACTTTTATCAGAATTTGATAAAAATAAGAAAGATAAATGGATAAATGTAAAATTTTTACAGAAATAATTGCATGAATCATTTTCATATTAGATTTAACGCATTATTTTTATTATTTTGCTCTTCAAGTTAATGTTTTACAAACACAAGATAATATTAATAACAAAACAAACAAGATAAACAACCAACAACCTGGCACACCTGAGTATTTGCACAAATTGCAAAAAAGTAATACATTTACGCAGATCAACCTACATACTGCGAGTTCATTGACAAATTTTGCATTAAAAACAAATAGATATAAAAAACTTTACGTTCTGATTCGATGACGCAATCCGCGCACGCGTAATACAAATCTTCCACCACATCGCAACGCCGAAATGGTTTTAACGGCGTCAACTCACGATTTATTTCAGTGAGTAGCAGCACGCCGAGTTGCGTGTGAAAATCTAATCGAATTTTACGTGCGCTCCGTGTTTCCGACTTGTTGGGACACAGCGTATGCGGCGGCGCTTAAATTTCGATCAAAATTTGACACATGTAAACATGGTGCCCATACGGTGCGCATTTGTGAAATAATCATGAAATCACACGTGAATTTAACTTGAGAGTGAATTGTGATTAGAATTGCGCATGAAGACATTCGGATATTATTACGTCGAAGAATAGAAGAACAAAAGCAGGATGGTTTTCGAGTCGGTGGTCACCGATGTGTTGAATCGCTTCCTCGGCGATTACATCGAGAACTTGGATAGCAAGCAGCTGAAATTGGGAATATGGGGAGGTAGGATGAGAGATTGGCATCTACATTTCAGTTTAAAGTAGTTTACATTCAACAGATAAAAATAAATATGAGTGTTTGCGAATATAGGTTATAGTGGGATGTATACACGCTTTCTAAAGCTAAACACACACAATTTTGAAATGTGCGCCATGTTTTTTTGGGATTTTATCAAATTTTTCAGACACAGAGTAAACTAGAAGGAGATTTTTTTCTGAATTATATGCTGCATTAAATTCTACTCGTAAATGTGTATTATTTTATGTGGAATTCAATTCTAGCTAGATTTTAATGAGTAGTTTTTACATTTAGTAAAAAACAAAATAACGCTGCTCTACATCTCGATGAAATCATCGTTAGCATCATTAAAATGATGATTAACGTTACAGTTTTATTATAATTGTTATTAAAATTGATAATGTGATTGGAGTTCAATTTTTGTGATTGTTTGGCCTCAATTAGGCGACATTTACATAATGTGACCTTTTGTAATCAACGTGAAAAGAATGCCGACCATAATATCATGACATCATGCTTTTAAATACATCAGTGTTTACGAATGCAACAAATATTGTGTTCATTCACTATCTGGTTCGAAATATGTTCATGCTTGTCGATTCTGCCTAGTTAGCCTAGTGACTAACGAGCCGGGTTTCTGAAAAGCAATGAAAATTCTATAAATAACCATGTGATTGGTGTTAAATGCGCGGAACGCCAATGATTTCTACTTTTTTTTGAATAATACTCATTATTTTGCGGTTTTAGGTTTGTGGTTTTCAGTTAATTATCGTAGAAAATTGATTATATGTTTTAGAAATTATTTATTTTGGCATTTAACAAGTTATTGAAACTACGGAAGAAGTGAGAATGGGAATCATCTGTAACACGAACCGAAGAGAGAAAAGGTTAGAGGAGAGGGCTACCAGCAAAAGTGGTGGGGGTAGGTGGAGTGGGTCTGTGACTATACACGTGCAAATTCGAATATAAACAATGCGCGACCCGAGCGCAAACAGTACGCCGGTTCCTTCCACTTTTTGCGGGACTTTTGCAGGTGTAAAAGGAGGAGATATAAATTCGTTCGTGAGTGGTACAAATCCAAATGGCAGCTTTTAGGGTTCCTCTTTCTCTCTTCTGGTTTTGCGTTTCCAAGATATCAAAAATGTTTATAAATGTAAATTTGCGTTGAAATTATGACAACATTTCTAAAACCTATAATTCCTATTCAAATTCTGCAATATAAATAATATTCGATAATGTAATTTTAAGGCGACATCGTCCTCACCAATTTACACCTAAAACAAAACGCACTAAAGGAGCTGGACCTCCCTATTCAAACAATTTACGGACGCCTAGGTAATAAAAACATTCGCGAGTAAGATAAAAATACTTTATTACGTTACATTGCATTGCCTGTTAGATAAATTGGTTGTAAAAATCCCCTGGTCCAATTTATATGGAGCTTCGGTCGAAGCTACTATCGAAGGACTCTATCTCCTTCTCGCGCCGAACAATCAAGTCGAATACAATGCGGAGAAGGAAGAACAACGCGTGTTCGAGAACAAAATTGCCGAACTTCAACGAATTGACGATCGAAAAAAACTTGCTGAAGGTATTACTCAACACATAAACAAAACAAATTAACAATTATTCTATAATAAAATAATATATTTTTACGATAAATTTAGTCAAAGCCAAAGCTGATGATACATTCGTTGAGAAATTAGTAACGCAAATCATCAAGAATGTCCAATTGAAAATAAAAGATATTCATATTCGTTACGAAGACCGCTCTCTTGCCGCCCCCTTTGCTATGGGTGCCACATTGAGCAATCTCATCGTGCAAACAACAAATGAAGATTGGAAGCCGACGGTTCTTCAAGATGTTGTCCAGAAAATCTACAAAATCGTCACTCTTGAAGGTCTGGCGGTTTATTGGAACTGTGGCACTGAAATGTTTTCGGAAATACCTGAAGATCAACGTCGGGAACTTTTTATTAGAGATATTGCCAACAGACAATCAAAACCGGATAAGTATAACTACATCCTCGGCCCGATTAACTCCGAATCTAGGCTTGTTCTGAATCCGAAACCAGAACACAATTCTCCACCTTTTGAAGCTCCCAAAGCGCACGCAGAGTTAAAAATCGAGACTTTATCTGTTGGTATATCAATGCGTCAGTATCGGGATATAGTCACGTTTGCTGATTCCATGCAGCTGCAGATGGTAGGTCTCCCATTTAGAAAATACAGACCGAATGTACCTTATAAGGATCATGCGCGTGAATGGTGGAAGTTTGCGTACACATGCATCTTGGAAACTGAGATAAAACGCCGGAAAAGAAACTGGGACTGGAATCATATGTGTAATCATCGTGAAATATGCAAATCTTATGGAGAATTATACAAAACCAAGTTGACATCTAAAAAGGTACCAAAGGAAGTCGAAGAGGAATTGACCAGATGTGAGAAGACATTAGATTTGTATAATTTAGTATTGATCAGGCAGCGGATTGCAATGGAGGTGGAGATGTTGGATAAAATGCGTAAAGAGAAACAACCCAAAGGTTGGTTTAGTGGATGGTTTGGCGCTTCTAAAGCTTCAGATGACGACGAGGAGGCTAAGAATTACCTGAAACGCTTCCAAGCAGCTATGACACCCGATGAGAAGCAGAAATTGTTTGCAGCTATAGATTACAACGAAAATGACGCACCTGCAGCTTACCCAACAAAATATATCGATACTGTTGTACGTTTTGAGCTAAAACAGTTCAAATTCAACATCCGGAACGATGAGAGTCAGCTACAGAGCGTTGTTAAATTAAAACTTACTGATGTAAAGAGTAGTATTGCTAGGAGACCAAAACAAAACGGCCTCAAAGTGCAGGGATTCATTGGTAATCTACTGGTAACTGGTGTGTTACAAGGAGATATCCTTCCAGAGATAATCACATCGAATGTTAACCATCAAGGTGACCAGGTGAACCTGGTTGAAATCATGTTCGAGATGAATCCGTTGGATATGATCAACGGTAACAGGGTGCATTTGACTGCTAACCCGTTACAAGTGACTTATGACTTCGTTACCATCCAGGAAGTCATCAAAGTTTTCCATGTGCCTTCTTCTAGTGCTCTTGACGAGCTTTCCAGAGCAACCGCACAACAATTAAACGATGCTAAAGAGAAATCTGCACTAGGTTTGCAGTCTGTTATTGAAAAACACACCAAACTTGATATTTATCTGAAACTATCAGCACCTATTGTTATTATTCCTCATAGCGGGTTGTATTCTGGCGCTGATAATGTCCTGGTGATTAACCTCGGTACATTATTGATCAAATCATTGCTTAATACTGATATGAAAGCTGTGACTGATTTGATAAAGTCTGGTTTTGCTAAAACCGAAGTCATGGATCACATGATTCTTCAATCCTATGATAGATTCCAGATCGATTTGACTGGTTTGCAAGTTTTGGTCGCACAGAGTGATGAAAAGTGGTTGGATCAACTGCTTCTGGCCACAATCACACCGATGCACATGTTATGCCCTATAAATTTATCAATATTACTGGAAACTTGTATTATTCAGGATCCTTCTTTACCTTTGTGTAAAATATCTGCTGAAGTGCCTAGTGTATTCTTTAGTATAGCCGATGCAAGATTACACTTGGCGCTGAGTTTGGTTCAGTCATTATCGGCGCAATTCACAGATGAACAGGTGAAACTCACCCGATCAGTCAGCACATCATCCCTGAAAATAATCGGTGATAAAACCAGTAGAGCAGCGAAACGCGCAATGAATCAATCAAAAACTGCACAAGATAATCAGAATAAGGTGCAAATGACTCTGGCGAGGGTCAAGTTTGAACTGCAGAACTTCCGATTTCTGTTTACACATCAAGAGACTATCGCTGATGAAACTACTGATGTCTTTGATATACAGTTGACGTCATTAACAATGGCGTTCTATGAGAAAACTTCGATAAGACATGTGGCGCTTGGTTTGGAGAGTATAAAGATGATTCAATTTATTAAAAATCTCCCGCCGCTGCCCGTAATCAACACACCACTCAGTGATGAGAATAAATTGTTTAAGGTTGATTTTACACAGGTTCAGAGATCTCATCCTGAATTTGCTACTACTTATAATCGAACATTGACGATTCTCGATGTTGATTTCGCTGTTTTGGAGCTGTTTTTGAATCATGATGCGTTGATTGATTTGGTTAGGCATCTGAATGAGATTCAGATGGCTTTCGCGGAAAATGACAGCGTTGCAAGATCCCGTAGGAATTCTGTGTCTTCGATGAGTAGTCTTCAATTGGTGAAAGACGCCATGAAAAATGCTATAGAAGTTACCCGAGAAAAGATACAGGTGATATCAGATGAGATTTCATTCAAAGTAACCGCGAATCTTGCCCAGATTGATATTTGTTTCTATCGGGAACAACCTATATCATCGATAGCGATATCCGGTTTGCATTCGGATGTGATCCTGACTGACCACTTCACAAAGATTCAGTGTTATTTGAATGGTATTTCCGTGATGGATTTGAATTCGAAGACTTTACATTCGAAAATTATTGCGGTGGATCAAATGGAGAAGGCGATTGATTTGGCGATTATTTTGTACAATCAACCAGCGCATGATGAATGTGATATACACATAAAAGCTACTTTGGGCAAGATTCGGGTATCTTTTGTTTTCTGGTACATTTCTACAATGTTGAACTTTTTGAATTCATTCACTGTCGCACGGGAAGCCATTGTGGCTGCGTCACAGAAAGCTGCGCAAGTTGCCAAGGAGAATATCGAGAATATTTATGAAAAAGCGACGAAAATGAAATTGGATATTCGACTAAACGCGCCGGAAATTACAGTCCCTGAAAAATCAACGAGTCTAAATGGTCTCTTTATTGATTTGGGTTTAATTACAATCACCAATGAGTTCAACTCTCTTGAAACCATGAATGAAAAGGGCCATAATGCTGTCCTTGACGAAATGCAGTTGAAACTTGTTCAGCTTGGCATCTATAGCATTTCCCTAACGAAACATCTGGATGTTAAATCCAAAATTCCCATTCTGGAACCGTTGAGTTTCACGTTGTCGGTGAATCGCAATCTATCACTGTGGTACACGGCTATACCTGATATTGATGTGAATGGAATCATTGATAATATGCACCTGAAAATGGGCCAAAATGATTATCGAACGTTGATGAAGATTCTGAATGAGAACATGAGCGAAGGTAGTGTGCATAAATGCACGTCCACACATGCTGATTTACATGACGTTGCTACCATTACTGATGAGAGTATGATTTCTACAACTGAATCATCACAAACCCGAGCCTTGCAAGATGATAATGAAGATGCTTATATAAAGACCAATTTCCGCTGGAACTTTGCAATGCATTCATTCAAAATCAATCTGTTCAATGTGCACGAAACGGACTTTGATTCTTTTACTACAAGGATTGGTCTAGGAGAGTTGTCCATGCAAGGTTTACTGGTGAAAGGGAGAATGTTGTCAAATAATTCAATCACGAATAATTTACTGTTGATGAATCTGGTGCTGAGTGATACCAGGCCTAATCGAGATGACATGATTTCTGAGATATTTTATCGGACACCTACAATCGTCCCAGGGCAAACCCATATAGGGATGTCTTTGGAAACTAACAGCATTTTACATGAGAATCGGAATATGGTTGATATGACACTACAAATGAAGAAATCTGATATTTTTAGTGAGTTTTTACATTTTGCTGAGATTGTTTTTAGTAAATTTTTACATTTTTAGTTGATTTACGAGTGTACAGCGTAACGTTCATTTTATCAGTCGAGTATTTATTGAGGCTTGCTAGTTTCTTCCAAGAAGGGACCGACAACAAAGACACGTCGAGACCTGCAATGAAAAAGTCCGCTGCTTCAGTTGACCGAAAAAAGACCGAGAAATCCACGGCAACGAATGGGTTGATATCGATTGCGATAAAGTTAGAGAAACCGGATGTGATTCTAGTGGAAAATGTTGATGATTTGAATACCAGGGCCTTGATTCTCAACGTAATAATTTCAAATTTGTATTTTTTAGGAAATGTTTTAAAAAAACTGTGTTTTAGTGTGAATTAATGATGAGATTACGCATGATTGGTGAAAAACAAACGATCAACGGCTCGCTATCAGATTTTCAAATGTACACCTGCATGTTTGATCCGGATATCCGCGAAAGTACGAAGAATATGTTCCTGGAGCCGTTTACATTGAGTATTGCAGGTTCCACACCCGAAGGTAAAGGTATTCACGTTGAGGCGTACCTTACGACTATTTATATTGGTGTTTCGGTTTATACAATTGAATTGTTGAACAATGTCTTAACAACTATCTCCGCCACTGGCGAAATGCGGAAGACTATCAGGGAGGAACTGAGTGATATGTCTAATTTATGGAAAATGCGCCAGAACAAGCAATTTTGGTTCTTGCAAACAGGTTGGGCCGTTTTTGTGAAATTTTCTTTATTCTGTATTTTATTGGTGTTTTAGATGAAGCTGAAGACGCTCTAACAACCAAACTGGCTCTACCTGCAGAGAAAGTGAAACACCTCACTGAAATGTGTTTGGTTCACGTCCCGCAAATAATAATTACACTCCAAGCGGGTGTCGGTCACAAAACTTACCCGATTCTAGCATTGGAGTCGTCATTTTCGGGAAAAGTATCCAACTGGTCTTCGCAATTATTTTTCGAAGCAACTCTATCACTGCAAATGGGCTACTACAACAATCTTCTAGCTTTGTGGGAACCAATCATTGAACCTGTTATCATAGATTCAGAGAATCAATCTGAACCGAAAACGACTCCTTGGGAAATCCGCTTCGAAATAAACGTGAATGAAAAAGAAGATGATTCGGAGGAAAATGTGGACGACGTTGTTTCTGCAACAAAAGAAATTGTGCCGCAACCGGCCATGACAATTGATATTTCATCATCGCACAATCTTGAAGTAACCATTACCAAAACCGCGCTGGAAGTTTTCACAAACGTTTCCAAAATGTTCAGTGCTGCCACAAAAGCATCTTCTGAAGATTTAAAACGCGAAGAGGTTACTGGGCTGTATAAAATAGTCAATACAATTGGCACAGATGTAATTTTAAATTTAAATCCGAATGAGTTGATACACAAAAGTAATGTTTCGGCGACCCAGATCGAAATGAAGCAAAACAGTGAAGTTTTCTTGGACCCGGTCTCTCAACGCAATCCAACTGATAAAATTGAGTCTTTCTGCAGCTATGGTGCTACTCTAAAAGAAAAATTTATTTCCGTAGAGATACCCGAGTTTCAGATTACGTTATCCCTGCCTTATATGCGAGCTGTGAGTAGATACTACCGACTTCCAGATACAAACAACGCTAAAAAAGATAAAGCAGCAAACTGGGGAGTTGTCTCAACTGTTACCGTTGTGAACGGCATTAATATCATCACTTTGAGCAGTGTTGTTCAGGTACATAATTGTTTCAACGTCCCCATTGACATTTACTACATGAGGCACTCTGGGAATGAGCTGGAGTTGATCGAAACAATTCAACCGAATGCCACACTTTACGTCCCGCTGAACGCAGTGTATTCTGCAACTTCTGAGTTATTCTTTTCCGTTGAGGGGTATTCGATCACTAGAACACCGTATGTGTGGAAGGATTTGCAACTGAATGTTGCGGTGAATAAAAGTTTGGTTTGTGTGTCCAAGACGGACCAGGGAAAATCGTTTGTGATTAAGGTAGTTGGTGAAATGAAACAAATCTTCTACGAGAATACCACCAAGCATACCATGTCGAGCACCATGTATTTTATTAATCTGCGACCGGCAGTTATCTTCCGAAATTGTCTTCCATATGACGTACAATTGAGCGTGGTTGAACCAATCGGGGTTGTTATCACCCCGGGTAATTCACTTGAGTTGCCGAATGTGGATCCTGGTCAAACGGAAGTGGTTATTAAGGTATGAGGTATAAATATGATTAAAACAACGTAAGTCATTCTGGTTTTTATATCTGTTTAGTTGCCCAAATATTTGGACAAATCTTGGGTATGCCGGCGGGAAATTGCACTCATGCCACCTCAATTTTCGGTTTGGACTCTGGACAGTCACGACAGTATCGCGAAAATGTCCCTGGACCTCGGCATGCATTGCTTGAATCAAGAAGGGAGCTATATTATGTCCCTGTATTGTCCATTCTGGATGATAAACAAAACCGGCCTTATTTTAAGTTATCGGGTAAGTTTTTACGTCCTTAAACTTTTATTTCTATATAATGTAATGCGCTAAGTATTTTAATATTTAACGGTTGATTCAATTTCAATTTGATCGCATTTTAGAAATCTAAGAAAACTGAGAAAAATGAAAACTCCGGCAGTCCTCTTAAGGTATCCCCATTCAATTAGGTTTCTTAACAAGTTACTTTGCAGTTCATTGTTTTGTTTTTTTTGTAACAACTTGTAGACTAATATTCGGAGATATTGCTTTTAAATTTTGTTTTGCGCCATAATCCTATCATAAGTTTAATTATAATATGAATTATTCTAGACAACAGATGAAAATACCAACGTTCTATACCATCCAGCGTACCTAAGAGAACCGATTTTGTTCTCATTCAATGCTAGAAACTTTTTCGGCAAGAAGAAGGCTTGCGTAAAGGTCAACCAAGGGGAATGGTGTGAAAAATTCTCCATTGATGTAGCAGGCTCCTCTGGTGTGATTATGTGCACTGAAAACAGCAGACTTTATCAAATCGGCGTACAAAACGAGCTCTCCTACAACGGCCTCACTAAGATGATCACGTTTACACCGTATTTTGTTATTATAAACCAGTCCATCCGTGCTATTGAGTGCCAGGAAGATAAACGTCCCGGCGATAAATGGTTGGAGGCCAGTCCCAAGTCTTGTATTGCATTCTGGCCAATAACTGAAACTGATGATAAATTTATTCGAGTGAGAATTAAGGATAGTGATGAGATAAGTATACCTTTCTTGATCACTGAAAGCCACACGACTTTAGTGAAGCTAAAGAATAAAGTTGGAGGTATCAACGTGGATATTCAGTTAACTGAAGGTGCAGTGTATATTAACTTAGCGCTGTACGACAAGGGAATGGCCCCGCATTGCTTATCAATAATACACCGCATACAATGAACATCTGGGAGAAGAAGTCGATACATATTCACAGGTTACTACCCGATCACAATATGTATTTTACTTGGGATTATCCATCTTCTGATCGGGTCCTTGTATGGGAAACGGGCAACAAGGGTCAAGAAGAAAATGAACTGCGAATGGATGGAGTGGGAAGTTACCAGGTTGCTAATAATATAGATGTGTACTGGGTGTCGTTCCTGGACGGTATGCAGAGAGTTTTGTTATTTACATGTGATCAAAATGTAGCGGACAATGCGCAAGCTACAAAACAGTTTGAGATTATTGATAGGGAAATTACCCTATCGCTTCATGGGTTGGGTCTTTCAGTGGTAAACAATTTATTGCGTCAGGAAATTGTATATATTGGCATTGCTTCCACTGGAATCATTTGGGAGACTTGTAAGCATAATGGAAGAAGATTCAAGCAGATGAATACCGCTCTTAATATGACTATTGAACGAGAATACCAGCAATATTTATTGAAAGCATCAACAGAGGAAGCGTCGGGATCTGTTGTAGCATTTGAACCACACATGGAAGTTGATTTTGAGGAAATGGTGCAGATTAAGCCTAGAAAACGCAAAATTCAACGAAGATTCCAGACGGGTGTTTGGGTGCAGATGAAAACATCGGAACATCAGATGCAACTGCACGCTAAGATAAATCGATTACAGATTGATAATCAGCTGCATGATTGTACTTTCCCTGTTTTGTTGGCACCTGTACCACCTCCAAAATCAGTTGTTATCACTGATGGTGAGTTTTAAAGGTTTTAATAAGTACAAAATAATGACTGATTAATTTTTAGCTAATAAGCCATTTGCTGAATTAAGTATTGTTCAACTCTTGATGAAAAACAGTCAGATTCAACAGTACAAATACTTCAAAGTTTTGGTCCAAGAATTCCACGTGAAAGTGGATTTAGGTTTCGTTAACTCTATAATGGAGGTGTTCGATACCTCAGCAAAGTCAGAAGAAGAACAGGTAACGTTTTCTGATGGCACTGTTCTGTGGTACTTCTTGTTTTATTTCTTTAATTCCAGAAAGAACACTTTTTGAATGATGTGCAGAGAGTTTCTGATGCACTGTATTCACATGCGACGCAAATATCTATTCAAGAACAAAAAGTTTCTATGACTTGCTGCATTTTTCACCGTTGAAGATACACGTCAGTTTCTCCATGACACAGGGTGGGCAGTCGTCTGGAATGGGAAATATTCCTGTTTTTCTTGGTGTTTTATTGCAGGGTATTGGAGTCACGTTGACAGACATGCAGGATGTTGTTTTCAAGTATGTACTTTCGATAGTAGTTTTGGGCGGCCATTAATGATTGGTCCTGTTATAGGTTGGCGTACTTTGAAAGGGAATATTCTTTCCTTACCCAAAAACAACTCATTAGTGAGGCAACCGCGCATTATGTTGGACAAACAGTGAAACAGCTTTATGTGCTTGTGTTGGGGTTGGATGTAATTGGAAATCCGTACGGTTTGGTCTTGGGCATTACGAAAGGAGTGGAGGATTTGTTCTATGAACCTTTCCAGGTCAGAAAATGAAAATATTAGGACAAACATTCCGAAATGTTTCTTGTAAACGCAAATTTTCAATTCAATAAATTCTGTTTTAGGGCGCAATTCAAGGTCCTGGCGAATTTGCCGAAGGACTTGCTTTTGGTGTAGCCTCTCTTTTCGGCCATACATTTGGCGGGGCTGCTGGTGCAGTTTCGCGAATTACAGGCGCAATGGGCAAAGGCATCGCTGCTTTGTCATTCGACAAAGAATTTCAACGAAAACGCCGTGATCAAATTAATAAACGTCCTGCCACTGTTAAAGAAGGTTTCGCCCGAGGTGGCAAAGGTCTTGTCATGGTAATTTAAACAAACATTTAAATGTGAAGCAAAATTTTTGCATAAATGCGTATGTTTCAGGGCGTTTTTGACGGAGTTACCGGTGTGTTCACGAAGCCAATCTCAGGTGCCAAGGAGCAAGGAATTGGCGGTTTCTTTAAGGGTCTAGGAAAAGGAGCTGTTGGCTTGGTAGCTCGACCAACTGCAGGTGTAATGGACTTTGCCAGTTCATCATTTGAATCAGTTAAAAGGTAACAAATCCTTTTCAGAAAATGTTATTATATAATGCAAATACTTTTGTGTTTAATAGAGTTGCTGAATTTAATTCAGCTTATGTGACACGCCTGCGTACGCCTAGATTTATCCAGATTGATAAATTAGTGAAACCATTCAATCCTCACAGTGCAGCTGGTAATAAATTACTTGCTGATTTAGAAAAGGGCAAATATTATTCGACCGATATTTACGTTGGACATTTTACTATCATTGAGAAGAAGGAAGTTTTCCTGATGACTGACAAACGCATAGCTTACATTTCTCATAATGATATGTTTGGTGGATGGCAGGTACGTGATATAATTTTAATATAGCATTGGTTTTATGGCGGCTGGGACATTTTTGTATTAAATCTATCTTTTCTACAGATGGAATGGACTCATATATGGCAAGAAATTGATGATTATCCTGTCGTAGTACAAAAGGGTGTTCAGATATTTGTTGATTCCAAAAAGAAAGGCCTCTTCAAAGGAAATGATGCATCAAAAATACTTTTAGTTTCGAATCCTAAGATTTGTGACCGCATCGTTGAAGAATTGTCCAAGTTTGTGGTCATAGGTGAGAAGAATGACCTGGGCGAGGGTATGGCTCCTCGTGAATCAAGGCACCCGTAATTGTTTACAGGTTTATAAAGTTTAACAAAATATGTATGTATATCAAAGAGTTATAAATTGTTTTAATTCATACTTCTAATTGCCAGTGTGAAATACTTTATATACAGCTACATTTTTCTAAACTAGTATTTAAATACTTTGAATCTAATGTTTTTCTTTAATTGGGTCTTATATTGGGCAAAAAGCACGCATTTAACATTGATGTCTTTAATTATTTGCGTTTACTCGTGAGTTGTTATTTAAGCTTGCATACTAAGCTTTTTATTAAATACATTTTTTTAAAAGATTGCCCAATTATTACTCTGCCAAATTTAATTATTATAATTATATTGGATTAAATGTTTAAGTTACTTTCTGCAGAGTAATTATAAACGTAAGTTTAAATATGAACATTTCTAGCGTCATCTAGGTATGAGTTATGGCATTTTGATGTTAAAATGCTACTTATTTAGATTGGGAGGTGCGTGCACACTTTTGTGTACGTGTGTCACACCGACACGGATGCCCCTCTTTAACAAAGTTGAACACTCACTGACTTAGTCAAACATTCTCACTGACACATATGCACCTCCACACTTTACGAAACACTCTATAAGTTGTGACATTGAAGTAGAGGTATTCTAAAGAATTCGTAGGTGGCGCATCGATGCACATTTTAACTAAAAATAGTCGAGCGTTGAAGATTACCGTGCACCGTCGCATCTTCTGCTACAGAACACGTTCTTTGATAAACTCGGCGAAGTGCGTACATCGCGTGTTTTTATCTCCTATGTTTGTTGTTATTTTTTTCTGCCTATTTTCTGTTCCTTATACTTTTGTATTGCGTCGCGATTTAAAATACTTATCTCAATATTAATAAAAAGAAAATACATTCTAACAATTAAAAAACAATGCAAAATGGGAAATACTAAACTAATGTTTTAAGTGTTTACGTTTTGATTCATACCTTTCACATAATGATAAAAATGTTAATGACAGTTTAAGTTTTCGTGCGTAATTCAGAGGTAATTACGAATATAAATTACCTTTCACATGCGTTCATCCTACACAGAAGCGCACTTTATTTTAATTCTACAATTGATTGGGAAATGACCCACCATCGAGTTATAGCGAGTAATATTATATGTAAGTACACACATTCTTCTTACTTATCAATACTCTATATCAAATTAATTGATCTTTACAGTCTAGACGACATTTTTCTTAAACTAAATGATGTCGAAATTACCCAATAATACACCCAGCATAATAGTTGCTATTCTTTTGGTTTGCGCACAACGCACGATCCAATTTGATATCGATTTCAATGGATTTAAAAGTTGTAAGTCAATAACAACATGCGATTGTCTCCAGCCGACCGATTCGGCACTTCCCGTGGAAATTCATTGCCCGGATTTTACTGACGATCAAATGCAACTTTACTACCGAATTAACGCTACTCTTTTGGTACAATGTTTACCCCCGTTAAATTGGAACGCATACAATAACGCCGATTATTCAGTGCAATCAGTTATAGAAGTGCTACGACAAAACGGAAATATAAGTCATTTAAAAAAAGTGCGCCTTGGTTCAGTGGAAGATGTCAAAGTGTCACATTGCAATCTTACTCAATCTAATGAAGATTTGGAATGGCTGATAAGTGCTACAACACCGAAATATTTATCGTTGCGGTCAAATATTTTAAGTGACACTCTTCTATTCAGCAATAATACTCAAATTTTGGATTCAATTGAAACTCTCAACTTGGAAAATAATAACTTAATCGACATACCATTTAAACTTTTTAAAAACATGTTGAATTTAAAAGACATCTCTTTAAATTTTAATAAAATTGTGAACGTAAATCAAAAGTTTGACGAAACAATTGTAAGTCTACAATTGGCACAGAACAATATTGTTAATCTTGATTTACATATATTTGAAGGTTTGAAACAATTAAAAACATTACATCTTTGGGGCAATTACATAACTGATATTCAAAGCTTACATTTTCATGATTTGGAAAATCTTCAGGCTTTGGAATTGTCACGAAATTCATTAAAAACACTACCGAATGATGTGTTTTTGCATTTGAAAAATCTCAAAACAATAAATTTAGAATCTAATCAACTAGAATCATTACCGTACGGACTTTTTAGTCATAACCCACAGTTGGAGAGTGTACGAATTGCCAGAAATAAACGTTTGACTAGTTTACCAGATAATCTATTAGCAAATTTGAATAATTTAAAAAATGTGCGGTTAAATGAGTGTAGTTTAACTAAACTTGGCAAACACATGTTTGAAAACTCACAAAACATTGAAGTAATTTATTTAAATGATAATTATTTGGAGAGTATTGATGCAGATTTATTTAAAGGATTGACAAAATTGAAAGTTTTGAAATTGTCTAATAACCGGCTAACACAGTTACCTGAAATGCTATTTATTGATGCAGTCAGTCTGAATGATTTGGATTTGAGTGTTAATGACGTAAAAATTAATTCAAGTGATGTTTTGTACACACTTTATTCCAAACAAATTGTATCTAATAAATTTTAGATTTAATTCAATGTTTATTATTTATCATGTTTACATTCATTTATTCAGACGTCGCCACACTGATTCACACTGATACATACGCATGCCCCACTCTGCGCAGCACTCGTTGTTATTGTAAAGTCATCTTAGGTGGCGCATCGATGCACCTTCTAACTAAAAATAGTTGAGCGTTAAAGATAACAGTTCACCTTCGCAGTTCATGCTACGAGCCACGTTCTGTTATGTCCGCGATGAAATGTGCGAGGCGCATTGTAATTTAGTAATCGTTGGTAGTATTTATCGTTAAAAGACGTGTTTGGAATCTTGCTAATGATGTCTCGCGTGTGTATTAAGAACATATGTGTATCTGTGCATTCGTGGGTGAGTTGCCGTCGGATACCGGACATCGATTCCTTGTGACTAGCTTGTGTACAAATTTGGACTTGGTCAGACCATTCTTATTTTCCGCTGAAATTTTCGAAGAAGATTACGAGCTGTGTTTGTGGTAAATATAATTGAAACCTACTTATTACTTATAATTGCTTTATACGATATTACTTGGGCGCCCTCACAAACAAATAAGGAAGGTCTAAAATAGATTTGCATTATTGAGATGTTCTCTTTTTCTTCTGGTAAAGGAAGAGACATGTTAAACGATACGTATTTGACACCCCTGGAATTCGGCCGGGAACATCCTCAAAATTGGCTTCAAAATTAGGCAATTTTAAATATTTTTCATGTTTCATTGTGGAAATCGGCGCATATCTCGGGAACGCTTTGCAATTTTATATCAAAGAGATTGTTCAAAATAATTATTTTATTCCAGTTTTACTTTTATGTTTGTAAATAATACTTTTATTCATAAAAAAATTTGTCGCTACGCTGCGCTAGGTGTGCCAAAATTTCGTATTTCAGTTGTTTTTGTTCAATACGTCGCGTTCATAGATTGGCCGTGTGTAGTCTTATCTATGTTTACGATGTTCACACTCAGCCTTGACGTGCGCTTGTTAGTTTCTCTTTTCGCGCACGCAGGTATATTATTACATGATAAGAGGTCAGTTTATTTTTACCGTTGGTTGGTTGGTTCGCATACTGCGCTTCAGCTCGCCACGCTAATTGTGAATTTCATATAATTCAGTAAATTGTGTTTCTTAATACGAGTACAATCGCATACTGTCAGTATTTAGTGGTAACAAAAGGGTATCGAGTTTTCGTAATGTCGTGTGTATTATTAAGCGTGTTTCTGAGGCGATTTGCAATTTGTGCGCGTGTGACCTGTCGTCGTGCGACGGCCACCGTATAATTTTCAATTTACGGATATTGAATTGAACCCGATGCAAATAATCCAGGTAACAAAATGATACCCAAACCCACTAAAAACTAACTTTAAAATTTGGGAGTTTTCAATAATTCTCATGTTTTATCGTGGAAATTGGCTCAAATCCCCGAAACGGTTTGCCTTATTGGGATGTTCTTTTTTTGTTGTTGTAGAAAAGAATCATTTTAAAGGATACGCATTTGACACTCCCTGAATTCGGCCGGGAACACCCTCAAAATTGGCTTCAAAGTAAAATAATTTTCAATATTTTGTATGTTCCGTCCTGGAAATTGGCTCATATCTCGGGAACGGTTTGCGTTATTGGAGTGTTCTTTTTTTGTAATTGTAGAAAAAGAGTCATTTTAAAGAAAACGCATTTGACGCCCCTGGAATTCGGCCGGGAACACCCTTAAAATTGGCTTTAAAATTAGGCAATTTTCAATATTTTCCGTGTTTTGTCGTGGAAATTGGTTCATATCTCGGGAACGGTTTGCGTTATTGAGGTGTTCTTTTTTTGTGATTGTACAAGAAGAGTCATTTTACAGGATACGCATTTGACACCCGCGGTATTTGGGCGGGAACACCCTAAAATTGACTTCAAAATTAGGAAATTTTCAATATTTTTCGTGTTTTGTCGTGGAAATTGGCTCATATCTCGGGAACGGTGTGCGTTATTGAGGTGTTCTTTTTTTGTTATTATAGAACAAGAGTCATTTTAAAGGATACGCGTTTAACACCCCAGAAATTCGACCGGGAACACCCTTAAAATTGGCTTCAAAGTAAAATAATTTTTAATATTTTGAATGTTCCGTCGTGGAAATTGGCTCATATCTCGGGAACGGTTTGCGTTATTGGAGCGTTCTTATTTTGTGATTGTAGAAGAAGAGTCATTTTAAAGGATACGCTTTTGACGCCCCCGGAATTCGGCCGGGAACACCCTCAAAATTGGCTTCAAAATTAGGCAATTTTCAATATTTTTCATGTTTTGTTGTGGAAATTGGCTCATATCTCGGGAACGGTTTGGGTTATTGGGGTGTTCTTTTTTTGTGATTGTAGAAGAAGGGTCATTTTAAAGAATACGCATTTGACACCCCCGGAATTTGGGCAGGAACACCCTTAAAATTGGCTTCAAAATTAGGCAATTTTCAATATTTTTCTTGTTTTGTCGTGGAAATTGGCTCATATCTCAGGAACGGTTTGTTTTATTGGGGTGTTCTTTTTTTGTGATTGTAGAAGAAGAGTCATTTTAAAGGATACGCATTTGACGCCCCCGGAAATCGGCCGGGAACACTCTCAAAATTGGCTTCAAAGTTAGGCAATTTTCAATATTTTTTTTGTTTTGTCGTGGAAATTGGCTCATACCTCAGGAACTGTTTGCGCTATTGGGGTCTTCCTTTTTTGTGTTTGTAGAAGAAGAGTCATTTTAAAGGATATACATTTGACACCCCCGGAATTTGGGCGGGAATACCCTTAAAATTGACTTCAAAATTAGGCAATTTTCAATATTTTTCATGTTTCGTCGCGGAAATTGGCTCATATCTCGGGAACGGTTTGCGTTATTGGAGTGTTCTTTATTTGGGATTGTAGAAGAAGAGTCATTTTAAAGGATACGCATTTGACACCCCCGGAATTTGGGCGGGAACACCCTTAAAATTGACTTCAAAATTAGGCAATTTTCAATATTTTTCATGTTTCGTCGCGGAAATTGGCTCATATCTCAGGAACGGTTTGCGTTATTAGGGTGTTCCTTTTTTGTGTTTGTAGAAGAAGAGTAATTTTAAAGGATACGTATTTGACACCCTCGGAATTCGGCCGGAAACATCCACAAAATTGGCATCAAAATTAGACAATTTTCAATATTTTTCATGTTTTGTCGTGGAAATTGGCTCATATCTCGGGAACGGTTTGCGTTATTGGGGTGTTCCTTTTTCGTGATTGTAGAAGAAGAGTCATTTTAAAGGATACGTATTTGACACCCCCGGAATTTGGGCGGAAACACCCTTAAAATTGACTTCAAAATTAGGCAATTTTCAATATTTTTCATGTTTCGTCGCGGAAATTGGCTTATATCTCGGGAACGGTTTGCGTTATTGGGGTGATCCTTTTTTGTGTTTGTAGAAGAAGAGTAATTTTAAAGGATACGTATTTGACACCCCCGGAATTCGGCCGGAAACATCCCCAAAATTGGCATCAAAATTAGACAAATTTCAATATTTTTCATGTTTCGTCGTGGAAATTAGGTTATATCTGGGGAACGGTTTGCGGTATTGCGGTAATTCCGTAACGCGAGTTATATTGAAAGTTGTGTGTATGCGCCATAGTACTCGTTGCGCTAGGAATTGTAGTTTTTTTTAGTATAGCATGCGAACGTGTTGTCATATTAAGTTCAGAATAAATCCTCCAGATGCGGAATTTAATTCTGTATCTCCCTGTATTTGAATTTATTGCGACAACATTTCGTAACGCGAGTTATATTGAAAGTTGTGTGTATGCGCCGTAGTACTCGTTGCGCTAAGAATTGTAGTTTTTTTAGTATAGCATGCGAACGCGGTGTCATATTAAGTCCAGAATAATTTCACCAGATGCGGAATTTAATTCTGTATCACCCTGTATTTGAATTTATTGCGACAAAATTCCGGAACGCGAGTTACATTGAAAGTTGTGTGTATGCGCCATAGTACTCGTTGCGCTAAGAATTGTAGTTTTTTAGTATAGCATGCGAACGCGGTGTCATATTAAGACCAGAATAATTCCACCAGATGCGGAATTTAATTCTGTATTACCCTATATTTGAATTTATTGCGACAAAATTCCGGAACGCGGGTTATATTGAAAGTTGTGTGTATGCGCCGTAGTACTCGTTGCGCTAGGAATTGTAGTTTTTTTAGTATAGCTTGCGAACGTGGTGTCATATTAAGTTCAGAATAATCTCTTCAAATGCGGAATTTAATTCTGAATGACCCTGTATTTGAATTTATTGCGACAACATTTCGTAACGCGAGTTGTGTTGAAAGTTGTGTGTATGCGCCGTAGTACTCGTTGCGCTAAAAATTGTAGTTTTTTTAGTATAGCATGCGGACGCGGTGTCACATAAAGTCCAGAATAATTTTACCAGATGCGGAATTTAATTCTGTATCACCCTGTATTTGAATTTATTGCGAGATAGTTCCTTAACGTGAGTTATGGAGGAATTTGTGAATGCGTGCAGAGGAGTGTTGATTTATATTTAAACATCTTTGTTGCATTTCCAACTCTGCCCGTTTATCGAGGATTGTGTATAAACAACTTTTTTATCGCGTTGAACTAGTTCGATCGTTTCAGTTTGTTCCTATCAGCGCGCGGCGGTCCATCTTTCTTCTTTTCATTTCAATTCCGTGAATTGCATTACATTTTATGGATTAAAAATAGAACCTAATGATAATAGATGTGCATTGCGTTTTGCTATTAATTTGTACGCTGAACATTTACAAAACTCGTGTCTTTATTTGTGTGTTAGTGGTCCGTCGGCCAATGGATTAGTTCGATGCTGAGAATATGAATTGAAATTATTTTTACTTCTGCCAATTACCAGTACGTGTAATCAACGTCTGTCCTCGTCAGAATGGAACATTTTCTGTTATATCCGTAATATTGCTTGTAATGCAAGTCTATTATCCGACGGGACGGACTTTATTAATACGCAGAGTAGTGCGACTTCTTACACATATGTTTTGTTGTTTCAGTGCATTTCTAGATTACCCGATGCAGCGGTAAGTTTGTAAATATTATTACATCATTATTATATTTTGCTTTTTAATCGCGTGTACTGAAAATATCGTTCTGGTTTAAAATTGTCACGTGCCGTTGCATACATTTTTGGCCTCGTTGCAGAAAGTTGGTTTTACTATATCTATTCATCTCACATTTTCTGTTGTTTTCTTTATTCTGTAATCGAGTTGATACGTCTAGTACGACAATTTTTCAATGTTTTCTTCCGCGTGTGCGTGCCGTCGGCCGGCATTTTGTCTGGAGATTGCGTCGCAAATATTATCTCTTAGTGGTATTGTTGTTGTGTTGTCTTCACTTGCATTTTCCTTCGCTTTCCATTGTGAAAATTGTAACATTTTTATTTGACTAATGTTCTCCTTCGAGAATTTTGACTTTGTTATTATATGTAGTGATTTTCTTCTGGTAACATCCTATATGTCACATTTTTTGCTCCCTTACCAAAACCTTGCTTTTCTGCTTGACCTGAGAATTTTCTTTTTAAATATTGTAATTTTCTTTTGGCAACACCCTGTATATTCGTTTTTCTTTAATTTCCAATCAATCCTTAATCAATTTGTGTTGGAGTGTTTTCTTTCTTAAACTTTAGATTTTCTTTTTGTAACACCCTGTATATCACTTTTCCATCTTGCGAAAAATGTGTTAAGTTTATTGTTGCAAGTTTTCTTTGGAAGCATGATTTTTCTTTTGGTAACACTCTGTATATTAGTTTTCCGTGATAAATTACTATTTTCTAGTGCCTATGTGTTAGTGTTTAGAATTTGGTAATTGTCTGTATGTGTTCGATTATGCAGGTCGTAAGACTTGTTTCAAAATGGCGTGCTGAAGTTTCTATGTATCTTATATACATGTATATAATTTGTTAATAAAGAAATGTTAAGAAATATTATGTCTTATGCTTTGAATGTACCCCTTCTATCATTTCAGGTACAGGTCTCTAAGAGAGTTCCCTCTCTCAGGGGCTGATCCCACCTATAAAAATTGTTAAGGTATACTGTATGATTTGTGTACTCCATCTTTCATTTCAGCTACAGGTCACAACTTGTAAGAACATTTTTAAGTGTCCTCTCTCTTGAGGCGACTTAAAAATTAGAAATATTTTTACAAGTCCTTAAAAGGATGTCCTTATAAGGAGTTCCCTCTCTCTGGGGGTGATCCCCCACCATAAAAATTGTTGATATGCCTGATAATTCCGGGGATGAAGCGCAGAGACATCGTAGCTGTAGGATGGGCCGGGAGCAATAGATGTACTGAAGCAGTGGGCGCTCTGGGAGATCGACCGTAGACTGTCTTATAACGACACGTGCCAAAAAATTTAAAAATTCCGTCTCCCCTATTCTCTTTTCTTCCTGTACTCTCACTTCTCTTCTTACTTCTCCTATTCTCTCCTGCTGTTCTCTCTTCTTGCTCTTCCACCATCTTCTACTTATTCCTATTGTTGCTCCGTACTCTGCCTCTTCAACTTATTTCTAACATTTGAATCTATATTTTCTTGTGGTATGCAACCCACAATTCTTAAATTTCTTATTATTTAATAAAACTGCTTCCTACAACTGAGATTCGAACCATGAACCATGAATCCCTAGCATGCTAACGTATGCACATGCCACCTGAGCCACCGAGCTCTCATATCAAAGCTTATTCGTTTCAGGTATAAATCTTGCACTTTTATTCATGTTTTAAAAAGAACAACACTTATGTCACGCACACATGAAGCTTAAACCAAATGTTATTTTTGTACGATTCCTGAAAACAACAAAGAGGATACCAAAATAAATAAGCGTTCATGTATTATATTAAATTATCTTTTATTGGAATTCATACAATCAAGAAAGTACTTTGTAATTGTAATTGCTTGGCCAGTTTAATTCACGGTAAATGGTTTCACTACACAATAAATAAAAACAAATAAATATTAAAATAAATGAATACGTTAGTTGTAATTTGCATTAACGTCATTCACTTAATTGTCCTTGTTAGCTACCACGCTCCACTCGCACCACCGCGTGCACATTGGTCCTTCGAACCGGATCTTCTCCACAACAGCGAGAAGCCACACCATCTTCACGGACTTACAACCCGTGGAGAACTAGGACTTCGCCACCAACAGCGCAAAGTCTTTCATTCATCTTCAACGGCTAAACCGGCCGCAAACGTCCACGGAGCCAAAGCCTACCCGGACATCAACCTCGGTGGCCTTACAACCCACCCAAGGATCTACCATCTCCGCCCGAGAGATCTTCAATCCCGCCGCACGAGCAGGACTACGCTGACCCGAAACAAACACCTTACCGCCTCCGCACGAGAGACAACCAACAACAAACCCTTTCATCACTTCGCCCAAGAGCCTACCATCTCCGCACGAGAGATCTTCAATCCTGACGCACGAGCAGGACTGCGCTGAATCGAAACGCGCACCTTACCGCCTCCGCACGAGAGACAACCAACGACAAACCTCCATAACTTCGCCCAAGAGCCAACCATCTCCGCACGAGAGATCTTCAATTCCGCCGCACGAGCCGGACTACGCTGAACCGAAACAAGCACCTTACCGTCTCCGCACGAGAGACAACCAACCACAAAATCTCCATCACTTCGCCCAAGAGCCAACCATCTCCGCCCGAGAGATCTTCAATTCTGACGCACGAGCAGGACTACGCTGAACCGAAACGCGCACCTTACCGCCTCCGCACGAGAGACAACCAACAACAAACCCTTCATCACTTCGCCCAAGAGCCAACCATCTCCGCCCGAGAGATCTTCAATTCTGCCGCACGAGCAGGACTACGCCGAACCGAAACGAGCACCTTACCACCTCCGCACGAGAGGAACCTGTAAGTGAAAAGAGAAAAACACAATGGCAACAACCGCTGCGATGGAGCAGCTGAACAGCCTCGCCCTGGAGCAAGAAATGCGAGGCCAAGAGCTAGGAAAGATTTTAACCGAAATATCAAAATCCAACGTAACAAGAAACAAAGTCAAATTAGCCCAAGTTGAACTAGAGAAGGTATGGAACCAAATCCAGATGAACCATGAGCGGTGTCTCGCCCACAAGATATCAACACATACCTATCATAGAGACGCCTTCTATGATAAACTCCGAACAAAGTACGAAGAAGTGTTACGCCGAATCGCTGCCACGGCGCACGAACGAGCATCGACCACTGACGAACTAACTACCAATGACCCGCCCGAACTCATTGGATATAGAAATCTTATCGACAACTTTAGAACACTCATTGATCAATCCAGCAGACTCACAAGTATTCCCCATTACGAAGCAGATGCTTGGATGCACCAATTGGATCAGAATTGGACCATGATTACCCAAACCCAACTAGCGATCGTTACCGCCAATCTACCGTTTGACGCAGCAACCCACAACGAACTATTTCGTGAGTATCTGCAGGTGAAGAACCGCATCCAAAGCAACATCGAAATCATATCGTCCAAGAACAAGGATTATGTCGCAACTGTCTTGGGAGAGATTTTGAAATAAACTAGTGTCCTTCCGCTAGCAACAGACTTTTCATATAATTTCATAGTAAGAAAGGTTGCTTATTTGAACTAATTAACCGTTGAATAAATAATTAATAATACCAATTCGACGTATTATCAAGGGGACGGTATCCGACGGCAGCCACAAATATTAGGATAAGTCACTCAATATCCGATTCTATGCGCGACAATTCAATAACTGTAAGCCACACATTCTCAAATTCAAATTGTCTACTAATATCGACGTGAGTAATATACTCACAAACAAAACACGTGCTCACGACACCATCGCGCACGACCGACTAAGGAGGAAAGAGAATTGTCAGCCCGCCGGCTTTAGTTGGGGACACCAGGTAGATAATTGAAGTATTATATACTTTGATTATTTATGTATAGGTATATCAATGTCAATTAGTTTGATACAATTTGCATTTTTAATACAAAAATTGGTTTTTACACGTCAATAGGGCTTTAATCTATAATTGTGTTACTGCATTCAGAATTTAATTTACTTTCGAAATCCAAAACAAAAAAAATTAAAGCACACATCAGAATTTTATTTTGAATTATGTAAAACAATTGGAAAAGTGCAAACAAGTAAAGTCAATAATGGGTTTAATTTTCAAATGGCTGAGGAAATGCGAGAACATACCTTGATGCAAAATAAATTATTGCGTTTTGGTATATCCAATAAGTTGTAGACCTTAATTATGCACATTGTAGAACCGATGAAATACGCGTATAATACGGCGACCGACGGAACATCACTCACGCTTAACCTCTGAGTATGTACAATCCGTGTAGTACGAACGCCGCACATCAATCGCGCACAATCGATGAAGCATTTAGAAACCTAAGAATAATAAAGAAAATGTACGTGCAGATCATCTCACGACAAAAATGAGACTAACGTGGTACGAGCAAGCCAACCGCGTGGCGATCGCACAAAAATTGCACGAGATAAGAAAAACATGTTTGTAAACACTGACACTTTCAGTGTGGTAGTGCAGAGCATGAATAGAACTGTACTCGTACTATGCATGGAATTATTAATTTCGATAAAATTTTAAATCGGAAACCAGATAGATAATGTAATTCTACACCTTTTTTGATAACATTAACCCTATTTACAATCTTAGTGAAAAATGCATTCGTTTTTCATAGACCTTTTTGTTCTTGACATAATCGCCAAATAATTCGAACTTGTTCTTCGATCGAAAAACATTCAAATAAAATAGTTCGACCTACTATTCGAACTATTCTTGGACCGAAAAAATTTTAAGTAAAAAAGTGCGACCGTTTTTGGACCGAAAAAATTTTAACTAAAAATTCGAACGAAAAATTTTAAGTAAAAAAGTTCGACCGTTTTTCGAGCGAAAAAATTTGAACAAAAAAAATCGAACGAAAAATTTTAAGTAAAAAAGTTCCAGTGAAAAAATTAAACAAAAAAATTCGACCGAAAAAATTTAAACAAAAAAAATCAACCGAAAAAAATTAAACAAAGAAATTCGACCGAAAAAAATTGAACAAACAAATTAGACCGAAAAAATTTTGAACGAAAAAAATCGACCGAAATAAATTACGTATTATGCGTATCATTTAAAATGACTCTTCTTCTACAATAACAAAAAAAGAACACCCCAATAACACAAACCGTTCCCGAGATATGAGCCAATATCCACGACAAAACATGAAAAATATTGAAAATTGTCTAATTTTGAAGCCAATTTTAAGTGTGTTCCCGTCGGAATTCGGGGGGTGTCAAACGCGTATCGTTTAAAATAACTCTTCTTCTACAATAACAAAAAAAGAACACCCCAAGAACGCACACCGTTCCCGAGATATGAGCCAATTTTCACGACAAAACATGAAAAATATTGAAAATTGCTTAATTTTGAAGCCAATTTTGAGGGTGTTCCCGTCCGAATTCGGGGGGTGTCAAACGCGTATCGTTTAAAATGACTCTTCTCCTAAAAAAACAAAAAAAAACACCTCAATAACGCCAACCGTTCCCGAGATATGAGCCACTTTCCACGACAAAACAGAAAAAATATTGAAAATTGCTTAATTTTGAAGCCAATTTTAAGGGTGTTCCCGTCCGAATTCGGGGGGTGTCAAACGCGTATCGTTTAAAATGACTCTTCTTCTAAAATAACAAAAAAAAACACCTCAATAACGCCAACCGTTTCCGTGATATGAGCCAATTTCCACGACAAAACAGAAAAAATATTGAAAATTGCTTAATTTTGAAGCCAATTTTAAGGGTGTTCCCGTCCGAATTCGAGGGGTGTCAAACGCGTATTGTTTAAAATGACTCTTCTTCTACAATAACAAAAAAAGAACACCCCAATAACGCAAACCGTTCCCGAGATATGAGCCAATTTCCACGACAAAACATGAAAAATATTGAAAATTGCTTAATTTTGCAGCCAATTTTGAGGGTGTTCCCGACCGAATTCCGGGGGTGTCAAACGCGTATCGTTTAAAATGACTCTTCTTCTACAATAACAAAAAAAGAACACCTCAATAACGCCAACCGTTCCCGAGATATGAGCCAATTTCCACGACAAAACAGGAAAAATATTGAAAATTGCTTAATTTTGAAGCCAATTTTAAGGGTGTTCCCGTCCGAATTCGAGGGGTGTCAAATGCGTATTGTTTAAATGACTCTTCTTCTACAATAACAAAAAAAGAACACTAAAAGAGATAGCCTTGATACTTTTTTTCGACGATTTTCAAAAATTCATATCTCTCAAACTAAAAGAGATAGCTACTAACGAATTGTTGATTATGAAAGATTGGAAGATTCGAAAAACGCGACTAAAAGTGCTAAAAAGTGACATTTTGCAATTTTTGCCCATTTTATTCAATCGCGAATATCTCGTAAACTAAAAGAGATAATTAAGATCTGATCGCAGCGTCTTAATCTACAGACCAATCTCTATCAGATAGGCTATTTAAAGTGGAAATCTGAGAGATGAAATTTTAAGTCTTAAGAAAAAATTGCCAAGGGGGGGTGCTTGATACTTTTTTTCGACGATTTTCAAAAATTCATATCTCTTAAACTAAAAGAGATAGCTACTAACGAATTGTTGATTATGAAAGATTGGAAGATTCGAAAAACGCGACTAAAAGTGCTAAAAAGTGACATTTTGCAATTTTTGCCCATTTTATTCAATCGCGAATATCTCGTAAACTAAAAGAGATAATTAAGATCTGATCGCAGCGTCTTAATCTACAGACCAATCTCTATCAGATAGGCTATTTAAAGTGGAAATCTGAGAGATGAAATTTTAAGTCTTAAGAAAAAATTGCCAAGGGGGGGTGCTTGATACTTTTTTTCGACGATTTTCAAAAATTCATATCTCTTAAACTAAAAGAGATAGCTACTAACGAATTGTTGATTATGAAAGATTGGAAGATTCTCTATCAGACAAAAATATAAAATAATTATATTTCCTACAGTAAAAGGTCGAAAAACGCGACTAAAAGTGCTAAAAAGTGACATTTTGCAATTTTTGCCCATTTTATTCAATCGCGAATATCTCGTAAACTAAAAGAGATAATTAAGATCTGATCGCAGCGTCTTAATCTACAGACCAATCTCTATCAGATAGGCTATTTAAAGTGGAAATCTGAGAGATGAAATTTTAAGTCTTAAGAAAAAATTGCCAAGGGGGGGTGCTTGATACTTTTTTTCGACGATTTTCAAAAATTCATATCTCTTAAACTAAAAGAGATAGCTACTAACGAATTGTTGATTATGAAAGATTGGAAGATTCTCTATCAGACAAAAATATAAAATAATTATATTTCCTACAGTAAAAGGTCGAAAAACGCGACTAAAAGTGCTAAAAAGTGACATTTTGCAATTTTTGCCCATTTTATTCAATCGCGAATATCTCGTAAACTAAAAGAGATAATTAAGATCTGATCGCAGCGTCTTAATCTACAGACCAATCTCTATCAGATAGGCTATTTAAAGTGGAAATCTGAGAGATGAAATTTTAAGTCTTAAGAAAAAATTGCCAAGGGGGGGTGCTTGATACTTTTTTTCGACGATTTTCAAAAATTCATATCTCTTAAACTAAAAGAGATAGCTACTAACGAATTGTTGATTATGAAAGATTGGAAGATTCTCTATCAGACAAAAATATAAAATAATTATATTTCCTACAGTAAAAGGTCGAAAAACGCGACTAAAAGTGCTAAAAAGTGACATTTTGCAATTTTTGCCCATTTTATTCAATCGCGAATATCTCGTAAACTAAAAGAGATAATTAAGATCTGATCGCAGCGTCTTAATCTACAGACCAATCTCTATCAGATAGGCTATTTAAAGTGGAAATCTGAGAGATGAAATTTTAAGTCTTAAGAAAAAATTGCCAAGGGGGGGTGCTTGATACTTTTTTTCGACGATTTTCAAAAATTCATATCTCTTAAACTAAAAGAGATAGCTACTAACGAATTGTTGATTATGAAAGATTGGAAGATTCTCTATCAGACAAAAATATAAAATAATTATATTTCCTACAGTAAAAGGTCGAAAAACGCGACTAAAAGTGCTAAAAAGTGACATTTTGCAATTTTTGCCCATTTTATTCAATCGCGAATATCTCGTAAACTAAAAGAGATAATTAAGATCTGATCGCAGCGTCTTAATCTACAGACCAATCTCTATCAGATAGGCTATTTAAAGTGGAAATCTGAGAGATGAAATTTTAAGTCTTAAGAAAAAATTGCCAAGGGGGGGTGCTTGATACTTTTTTTCGACGATTTTCAAAAATTCATATCTCTTAAACTAAAAGAGATAGCTACTAACGAATTGTTGATTATGAAAGATTGGAAGATTCTCTATCAGACAAAAATATAAAATAATTATATTTCCTACAGTAAAAGGTCGAAAAACGCGACTAAAAGTGCTAAAAAGTGACATTTTGCAATTTTTGCCCATTTTATTCAATCGCGAATATCTCGTAAACTAAAAGAGATAATTAAGATCTGATCGCAGCGTCTTAATCTACAGACCAATCTCTATCAGATAGGCTATTTAAAGTGGAAATCTGAGAGATGAAATTTTAAGTCTTAAGAAAAAATTGCCAAGGGGGGGTGCTTGATACTTTTTTTCGACGATTTTCAAAAATTCATATCTCTTAAACTAAAAGAGATAGCTACTAACGAATTGTTGATTATGAAAGATTGGAAGATTCTCTATCAGACAAAAATATAAAATAATTATATTTCCTACAGTAAAAGGTCGAAAAACGCGACTAAAAGTGCTAAAAAGTGACATTTTGCAATTTTTGCCCATTTTATTCAATCGCGAATATCTCGTAAACTAAAAGAGATAATTAAGATCTGATCGCAGCGTCTTAATCTACAGACCAATCTCTATCAGATAGGCTATTTAAAGTGGAAATCTGAGAGATGAAATTTTAAGTCTTAAGAAAAAATTGCCAAGGGGGGGTGCTTGATACTTTTTTTCGACGATTTTCAAAAATTCATATCTCTTAAACTAAAAGAGATAGCTACTAACGAATTGTTGATTATGAAAGATTGGAAGATTCTCTATCAGACAAAAATATAAAATAATTATATTTCCTACAGTAAAAGGTCGAAAAACGCGACTAAAAGTGCTAAAAAGTGACATTTTGCAATTTTTGCCCATTTTATTCAATCGCGAATATCTCGTAAACTAAAAGAGATAATTAAGATCTGATCGCAGCGTCTTAATCTACAGACCAATCTCTATCAGATAGGCTATTTAAAGTGGAAATCTGAGAGATGAAATTTTAAGTCTTAAGAAAAAATTGCCAAGGGGGGGTGCTTGATACTTTTTTTCGACGATTTTCAAAAATTCATATCTCTTAAACTAAAAGAGATAGCTACCAACGAATTGTTGATTATGAAAGATTGGAAGATTCTCTATCAGATAAAAATATAAAATAATTATATTTCCTACAGTAAAAGGTCGAAAAACGCGACTAAAAGTGCTAAAAAGTGACATTTTGCAATTTTTGCCCATTTTATTCAATCGCGAATATCTCGTAAACTAAAAGAGATAATTAAGATCTGATCGCAGCGTCTTAATCTACAGACCAATCTCTATCAGATAGGCTATTTAAACGACGGGCGATGTTAAAACTTTGCCATGTTACTGTCATTCCGGTTAGAAATAACGCTGATTACGAGAATATTATTAAATAATTTATCAACTACAGTATAATATTTTTGCTGGCCATAATTAATTTCAATTGTCCGTTTGTCGCCCTTTTGACACTTCACATTTAACATTGGGCATTCGATTATTTGCCCTATTGTGCAACGAGTTCTTTATTCGCGCACATTGTTGGGCGGTGTTTCCTTGTGCGCCCATTTCCGATAATAGGCACACCGAATTGGAAACAACTTTCAACCCCGGCGTCGCAAAACAATACGCCTACAACAATTGCCAATACCGGCGTATCTTCTGGCGCACTGCCACAGCATCGTCATCGACTTCCATAATTAATTGACAAAAATCATTTATCCCTGCGGCGGTCGGTCGCCGGTTGCGCGTTATTTCATCGCCGCGCGACAACCAAAAGGGTTCACTGAATCGGAAAGCTATAGAAAATCAATTGGGGCAATTGTAGGCTTGCATCGGTGTTGGCTTTGTGCGCGGATTCGCTGTTAAAACAGTGCTAAATAAGTGAATATATGAACAAACGCGTGCGCTAGTGGCACAAAGTGAATTGTGTGGTATAACAAATCCATTCAAATGTTATGATTCGTAAGCCAATTGATAATGACGTGCAGGTTTTTCCCTGTAGCCAAACACACGGTACGATTTGTAATAACCTACGCAAACACCGTTTGCCAACCAAAATCAATCAGTCCGGGCATCTGCGTAAATCAACAATTAATTTTGAATCAAATTAAATTTTATATACCCCGACCCTCTCTCGCACCGCAAATCGTATCAATATTTGAACTGGTGCCAAATTCCAAGCAATTTTCGGACCGCGATTTCTGAAATAGTTTTTAATTATCCGCCGCACGGTGTGTATTTTATTCATCCTTATTACACTGTCGTTTTTACTTAGCTGCGGCACACGGCCAACGCCTAATGGCTTTTTTAATTGCGGCGTCTGGTGGAAAAAGACCCAAAGCAGAGAAGAACTATGTATCTGCACCAGTGCGCACACGGCCGGTGCATAGTTTCATCGCCGACACGCTACAACGGCTAATACGAGTAATGCGGAAGTGTTAGAACTGTTAGGAAAGCGGGTGACGGCAACGGCGACGGCGGTGGCGGCAATGTAGAACGTGCGGCGCGCGTTAACGTCTGCTCCGCCGAGAGCAGACCGGCGAACCGAAAACTGCAACCGCGCCAGAATGCTGCAAAAGTGGAGAAAACGCGCTCGGACTGTAAATCAAAACGCAATTTATTGCCGAGGCGGCAGCGGCGGCGCGATTGCAACGGTTTCATAATAGTCAACGGTTGGCCCATTGGCGCAGAGCTTCGGACGCGTTAAGCTCAGCCGTAAGATGTTACCTTAAAAACGATTACAAAACGAGGATAATGAACAAAAAACGAAAAAAACACAAGCTCGAAGCAATAGCACCACTGTTGGAAACACCAGGAAACTGTTATCTGTTTGCAACACTCCCGGAATCATTAGTAACAAATGTTGCGCAATATGTTTGCCAAGGCAATTAGTGCCGCCTTTTTATAAGCGAGTAAAAATAAAATAGAAAAATGTTTCAAAAATGCAACTTGGAATGAAAATCAATTTAAACTGTTTCACGTCGGTCGGTCTATTAAAAATTCTGCGCGCTCAAAGGCAACTCAATAATCTTCGAGTTTCTAATTAAATTCTTTCCGTTTTATTTCCTTCCGCCTGTGCGCGACGTCACATCCACTCCCTCCGCCCTCGCGTAGCATAAAAAAAACCTTCATTTCAACTTCGTTTTTATTACTACTTATAGATTCCTTATTCTTCGCGTAGTTGTTTGCGTTTGTTCTTGTTGTAGCGTCTCTTTCATTTTGCCAGAGAGTAGCACATTGTGTTACGGACGTTACGGTATGCAAATTTGCGCGCAGCGGACTTTGTTATTGCTGGCGCGATGTTAAAATTCGTCAGGCGAATGAAAAGAAAACGATTCACTTCTTACCTTCACTCAATAGTGGCGGGCGGCGCGCATACAACGACAGAAAAGTTGATTGTATTTTAAGGCACGTTTACTCGAAACGATTGTATAGGGAAAAATCTATTAACGATAATTTATTCCTTTCGCCAGCGCAGCCGGGCGGTCTGGAAAGCGCACGACGATGAAGAATGAGTCGAATCAAACATTATGCATAAATGATGTATCGCTGCGCCTGTCATTATTAAATTGATTATTCCGAGTGGCGCACGAATGGATTTAATTGACATTTAGTGATAATTATGTCAACTAGAAATAATTGCAAAAATAAAAGACTACAATTTTACCTACCTGCAATCAGTTCGAGCTCAAATCGAAATGGAAATATTCCCGAAGGAGTTAAACTTGTGGGTATCCAATTTGAGTTCGGTTTGTATTCGAAATTGGTCCAGGGAAGACACGCTCCTCTACTCGCTCGGATTGAATCCGCATTAGAATGTAGATTCGAATTTCGAATTTGTGTAAACTGCAAATCCTTGATTGTGCCAAACCGGAATTGATTCTCTCGCGATGCCGTCCCCATCTTATCTCGACCTAAACAGATTTAATTCAACAGTTAGTATTATACATACATCTATATTCAAATGCGAAAAATTATAATAACAGTGCCCACTAGTACATGATACAAGGATATTCAATTTCTTGAAGATAAAGGAAGCGGGTGCGCGAATGCGAATACGAAGCCGCTTTCGAATTTAGGGTCGCGATGAAAATACCACAAATTCTAGCTCTGGTCTAGTGTCCTGCTCACCCTTGTGGAAATCCTAGAATCTAAATTATAGGACTTGCTAATACCTTTCAGGCGGCACTCGTAACGAAATTGAGGTCTGCAGGTTGCGAAGGAAAATGACGAGCATCGCCGTATTTAATACAACATGTATCCAATTCCAATTAAATATTTGATATAATCGACGAAGCCTTCCAATTGGAAAGCTGGACGGACGCTAAGAGAGAGAACTGACTAGCCGGCAACGATATTTATTTCATCGTCTTGATTTTAATGAAGCGCAGTCGTCGAAGAGATGTCGATAACAAGCGCGACCCGTACTTCGTCTTCGTTATTTCAAATTAATTATCTTGCAAATGTTAAATTCACTTGTAATTACATTCATTACGTGCGCTTCAATTGCAGCGCAAGACAATTATCAATGTGCGTCACAAAAGGAATTATCGTAAATAATCGCGAATCCCAAATGAAATTCAAAATTTACGACGTTACGTGTTGACGCAATTGTTTATATATTTACATTTCGCTTATCGTCCGGCTTTTTTGCCGCTCTGCTGTCATCCTGGCGGGGCATTTCGAAAATAATTAGAAAACTTTGCACTCCGCGCGCTGGCAGTTGGCACAAACCGCATAACTTTGCGTGCTTTGCGTTGTGTTTCGGTCACATCGAGCCATCGGGAGGCAATCGTGCGCTCGTTTTTCGGCGGCGGTGGGGTGCATGCGCTCACAAAACTCTCATAAAAGTTATAAAAGCATTTTGTAAACGTTATGGCACGGAAGTGACGGCAACTTAGCCGCGCGGCACAAGGCAACCGCGCCGTCGAGCTTCCCTTTTGTGCAAAATTATCGTCATTATCCGGTCTTTCTTTATGTTCCTTGTTGTGCCATCGAATGTGCGCCGAGGCAAGCAACTCCACCGCAAAACAAACTCCTACGTTTGTACAAACACGTTTCACAAAAACAATTTTATCCTCCTACGCAGCAAATATTATTAATTGTAATATTTCCATCGGAATACTTCGATTGTGTGTACGCGCGTCCTCAGAATATTGTCTCCATTTATATCTTCTATGTCTTTCTGTCAACAACTATATTGCCGCCAACCGCACTAGTGGCGACCATTTAAAGGAAGCAATAAAGACGATTTGCAAGATTCAATGAAAGAATGCAATAAAGGAAATGTCGCATTAACATAACGTAGTAGCATTCCAGGAAATTGTAAACAAATTCCCTGCGAGAGAATTGTCTTGAAATTGCAGGAAGCAAGTTTTAACGACTCAAATTTAAATCGTTTATATTCTGCGCATCCACCGCCCCTCTTGGAATCAGAAACTCGCGATTTTTTTACGCGCTCGCGCTATGCTCGGTTTGTGTAAATAATAAATTAACTAATTAATTTCCCCAAGTGATTAATTATGCCAATTTTCCGAAACGTGTCGACGTCAGCGCGAAGAAAATGCACGCCGAGTGATTCCTCATTTCGACGCTTCTCATTTTTGCCGCCGCTGCTGCTGACGCCGCCGTCGCATACCCGGCAATAATCATTTATCTCTTCCGTCTTGTCCTCTCCGCCGTGCCGTGCATTATATCCTTTGTAACATTCACGCAATGCTTTATGTTTCGTGTTTTTCGGAAGACTTAACTGTCTTATCGCTCATCTGCACATCTCATCAGGTCGGGGCGGGTGGCGGCAAGCACTAGCCGATCCGACGTTCATTAAAACTTTACGCTACTTCATCACGAGTGCTTTTACTTCTTAGAAATTTTTTATCATAGCTTTCATTTGAACCCGGCGCCAGAAAAAAAACATACTTTTTCGAATAATAAACAAGTAATTGTAAGAAAACAGTTTTTTTTCTGTAAGTTTTCTTTCTATGCGTATAGACTTTACAGTTAATAAACGATGACGATGTTTGCGCAAGCAGTAAAGTGAAATTGAAGTAATTAAAAGCGCAGGATACGACAGCCCAGAGTCCTGCCTAGTAGACCTTCGAGAGGGTCCGAGTGCTCCCTTAATGGGACAACACCTTCTTAAATGTTGGCGGAAGTACAAGGAGAACCACTTAAAAGCTCCAACATGATTGGTTATAACAACCACGCAGCCCGGTATATACAGGGTGTAATATCAAGTATAAGCTCCGAGCCTTTATCCAAACATTCAAAGCTAAGAATACGAAAAGTGGGAAACTCCAGAAGCAATTTGGTCTGCAAGTGGTGCAATGGTGAGGGTTATTATGGCCAGAAAACTATGCAAAGCTGTCTGCGCGCAGAGGGCTAACGACTTCAACGAAACACTACGCAAGTACCATTAAGGTCCTTTACTTGTTTTGAATAAAGATGATAATACCCCCGCATAACCGTCGCTTAAACTCTTAAACAATCCATACTTTCAATTATTACCGCAATTTAGGGCGCAAATTGTAATGTAACACGGGTGCGCGAAAGGAAAACGAGCAAATAATCGAGCTACAATCAGCCACGAATACTAATCTCTGTCGCGTTTTTTTTTTCTCCTACTTTCTGCCCCCGCTAGCAGGCCGGCGACGGGCGTGCTAACAATTGAAAGCAAATTTAGGTCAAACGCATTTATGATTAATGACCGAGGGTTTTATTACGTGTATTATGAGTATTGCCTCGACGCATATTACAGTTATTTTTCTAGCTGAATATTTCATCATTTAGTTAATAGGGTCAACTCATTGTGTTTTGCAATGCGAGGCGTTTACCCCAGTGACAAAGATCGGATCGGGAAACAAAAGGAGTGGTTGTGTTTGTTTTTTCTGTATTCGCTTGAAGGGTGCACACAATTTTATATAAATGAGATAAGCGCGCGATGCCACAGGAATATTCATGATTATGCTAAAATTAAGTGTTTTGGCTTTTTCCCGTGATGAGAAAGCCTTATCGCATTATTACGATCTAAATTAGCGAAAAACAAAACGAGAAAAAAAAAACGAAAAATTGTGGTCAGTGATCTTTTGCACAACTGATGACCGGCAGCGCAGGGGCGCGCAGCAACACATTCATATGCGTTAAAGATGGTGAGAAACGAGTCTGGAGGTGGCATGCCGTCGAGTTGGCGTAGGTCCTGGCAAAATCGCGCGCATGCCGAGTTCATTCCAAGCACAAACCGGCGCGCTCTTGCATGCGACAAGGATGTTGCGCGGTGGTGGTGGCGGCAGAGGTCGGCGGCGGCACATGCCCGCATTTTCCGCACAGCTTGCGCGACGCCGGCGACGTGCAAAGGTCCTAGTTTCACGCCGACGCTCGCGCCGATCGGTTCACAACTCGCGCATTTCGTGTGGTTTAAAACTCGTGAAAATCAACCACCACGATTAACCTCATCAAACACAATCAACAACAAACTCTTACAGTAAAATATTGAACTACTTCCGCATAATATCCTATTGTGCGATGAGAATGTTTCGTTTTAACCTGCGTTAGCAGCGAGAGAAAAAAAAAACACGGAAAAACAGAAATCGTGCGCGGTCGCGTTCAAGGACAACGCCAAAAATTGATTTAATATTAGATAACGGCAATGTAAGGCAAATATAGGCCAAGCGAAACGTTCACCGGACTAACCTCTAATAATAATAACAATATGTGTACTTATCATAGACAAATACATCATGTGCAAAATAACAAGTAACCACGTGATTCATTAATGTCTGATGTTTGACATTGGACCAACTTCACTGACCAACTAATGTAAGTTAATCAAATTAATATTCATCTCAACCGGAGGGAACATTTTTATTTGCGAATGCTTTTCGCATATCAAACACGCTCTTTAGACGTCGTCTGCTGAATCACATTCAATATGTCTTATTAAAATATGAATGAACTATCAAAGCAGTGAATGATGAATGGAATGAAAAGCTCTTCACTTGCGCACAGTTTAATTAATTGTTAATCTAACATTAATTTTATAACTATTCAAGTAGTGGAAGATGATTTTCAATGGGCGTTTGAGGCCAAAAGCATTTTTACTGCGCTTAATATGCAGCCGCGGGGTTTACAAAATCGTGTAGCTATTATTTCGCGTCGCGCAAACTCTTTATTTTCCTGCTGTGACATTATCAACATCATTTCGCGTTATGCGACACGGTCGGATGCCTACGCGCTTTTTTTTACACTTTTCCACTTCTTGTGCGCTAAAGAAACAGGGACAATGAATTTATCAAATGCATGACAAGCTAATAATTCACACATTCTTTTAAAGACGCTGTCTATGGCAATAAAATTTAATGTTTTGTATTTGAATCAATTGTATTCAAAAGAAATATACGTATCATTCAAAAAAGCGCTGTACGCTCGGGTGACACGCATGTCACATTTTATTTCTTACAATTTGTCACATCTTTCATATGTAATATTGAAGAAGCGTATTTTTATTGCGCAATGTTTCTGGTTTTTACACGTGACAGGTTAAAGGAGGTCACTTTTTAAAAAACGAAAAAAACTAACATTTTGACTCTTTTATGTATCTTGAAGATCACCAAGTTATCGATCGTTTTACATTGAAGGGTGAGGCCTGTGGCAAGCACTTGTCGAGTACAAGACGAGATTTATTATACGAGCAGTATGAAAAATGCAATATACATGTTTTTGTGGTCCAAGTTTATAAAAATCATAGACGAGAAATGCTGGCACATGCATTGGCGGAATGCATAAGAAATAAAATAAAATTACCAAACATGTGAGAGGAATGCGGAATATACCTCTCTCAAACGCGCACAACCTCAGTCGCAAAAACAAAAACTTCAAAAACATAAGGTACGTCAAAATATGAAATATGAAAGTAAGGGATGGTTTCTCTCTCAACTTTTTCCCATCTCACTGTGCAGGATAGCACCGGAAAATATGCGAAAAGTATTGGAAAATTCCAAATTGACAGACACCAAAACAATAGCATTCTCGACAAGAAATACGAAATAACTTCCGTTCGTGTTTCGCCCGCCTCAAAACTACATTTTCATATGAATTAAGATATGAGTTCGCCTTAATAGTTTTAATTCCGTATTCCGGACGGGTTTCTTCGCCCATCCGCGCGATAAAAACACGACAATCTGGCAGCGCATCTGGTCCTCCCTTTTGTTTTCCGTCCAACAATAAGTGGAAAAGTCCAGAACTAAGTCTTTAAGTGTCGGACTTCTTGCGGCTGTCACTTTCCATCTATTTCTGCGCCGAGATTCGAGATTTTCACTTCGCTCCTTGCTTCTTTTGTATTCGAATGCTTTTATGCGTCTACACGTCACACGATTTCGGTTTTCTTATCGCCCGCTGATTTTCCTCACTTCTTTGTCTTTTTTTATTTTATTTTACGCGGGGGGTATCTTTCAATCTGCCGGTTCAGCAGCGCGCTTTTTTCCCGCTATGAATAATCCGATTCAATCAATTGAATATTGCACCAAACACGTCATTTTACATTCGGAAAATTTGATATTTTTTCGTTACGGCTTTGTTTGGAAATAACTTTTTTCATGCGTATTAAAAAAGTTTTTCATTACATAATATTGAAAAGCAACGGAAATTGAAATTCCGCCGGCAATTTGTGACATCTGCGTGCAAAAATTAATTTTATTATTTTTAATGGTTATAATTAATTAACTGGCAAAAATAACAATATGTACTGGATGAAAACATTTGCTTGGTGCTTTTGGAAGCATGTCAAACATTTACGTTTACATACCACACCACCAACCGAGTACTACTCTCCACTCCGCTTGGTTGTAAAACTTTTTGCGAATAACATAAACATAAATTACATTATAATTCCGTGTTCAATTTCATTCGCAATTGCAGCTTGCGCAGTTTCTGCTTTGAATGCCAATTTACATGGGCGACGGCATTTCGGCTTCAGTGCACACACAACCACACTTCCAGCGCTACCCAAAATTGAAATATGCAAGGACACTCTCCAAGCCATGCAGCCGCCCCCAACATGAATGGTCAAAACGTGCAATAACACAACACGAAATGCGAAATGAGGTCGCGACCGCCGGTAATTCAATAATTGCATTTTCTAACCTCTACAAATTAAACCAAACAATTTACCAACACTAATCATCCACTAATAAAGCGTTATTCGATATTATCAAATCAAATTTCTATTCGAGTGCTTCGTTTTGAGTTGTTCCGACTTTATTGTGTGCTTTTATTAGGTACAACAATAGTTATTACCGTTTATTACCTCACTTATTACCTTTTGCCATTTTATCTCTCTTGTGAACTGTGCGCGTATCCGAAAACAAACCAAAAAACTTCGCCTGCAAGGACTCTGGAAAAAGTTGGAACAAAAGTTCGGAAGCAACTCGAAAGTTGATACTTATTTCACTGTTACATAGTCTTAACGCTAACGGCCAACTAGTACCAGCATGCGAGTGTCTTCTTCGGCCAACTTCCAGCCCAAGTACACGCGTAAAGCGGCTGCAGACATGGACGGGTAAAGAAGTAAAGAAATGGCAGCGCAAGCGACGAAGCAAGTTTGCCACTTTTTTGCGAGACCTCATAACAGTTCATAACTTTATAAGCTTTTTGCCAGCCAGCCATAACCAACTAATATAATATTAACTTTGACTTGTCTCAACAACCGTTGTAATATCGCATTGAATTATTAACTATTCGAATATTTTTTTATTAGCCTGATTGTGATTTCAGAGACAAAAAAATCGTGACAATAGTTTTCAATTTATAAATTCAATTTGGCGATCATTAGTTTCATTTGGTTTTACGTTTATTTTCGTTTTTAATCAAATCCTACATATTTATCTACCGGCTTAGTTGGCAATTTTATTTGAAAACAAAATACCTGCAATATTGACCATTTCAGTGTTGAACAATTGTTTTATTTTGTTATTCTATTTCGTGACGCTTGTAAATGCACTGCCACCAAATTAAATTTTCAACGAACAAAACACGTACCATTTTTTTTGAAACTATATTATAGATTATAAATTTGCAGCAAATTATTTATTATTCACAAAAAACTTTTTTTTGTAGTTATAACTTTCCTTTGAAGTTGAAGTGTATCAGTGTTTGTGGACAAAAAAAGTTGTCAACAAAGCGGAAGCACCAGCAGCAAATTCACTAAGCCTGCAAGTCGTTTCGTGTGCGTTTATTAAAACAATAAAACATCCGAGAACGTCATTAAATGTCCTGGAGGCTCGCCCGTCGGTCGTATATATCATGTTCTTGCTTTTTCTGCTTACCGCGCCGTTTCTCCCCGACATACAAATATTGTACATGTTACATATGTATATGGTTATCAAATAGGTGCGCATATATCTTCAAAAAATGTTTGTTTTGTTGATATTCTCGGATTGGTTATTAAATGTTAGATTATTGGCTATTTGCCCCAAAATACGAGATAAAAGCACTAAAATCCCAAACAAACGGTTAGATATGAGAGTATGAGCGTAACACCATCGACAATTTTGCTTCCGCACGATTTTCTCGCCGAAAAGTAGCAGGAGTTGGGCTGCGCACCATCCATTTACCACTTTTGGCGGGTGCAGCACTGCGGCGGTAGCGGTGGCGGCGATGGCATTCCGCGTCCGCCACTTTCATCGCTCTCGAGGCTACTTATAACACTTACCATTTACCAATTTCCACTTAGAAGGGCTATACTCGTATGCTTAAAGCCTTTATTGATGGCCGGAAGACTCACAGTTAAATGTAGGATGTACCATAAAACTGTCATTTTTATCAATAACAAACCTAATTAATTATTTCAACCCCGTAAGTGTCTATTACCTATCGTAAAACAAATATTTTTCCAATTTTATAGTTTAAATATAAAATTTTAACGTGTTTGGTGTCTAAACATTGGGTAAAATTGATTGCCTCTTGTGTTAGAAACACTTGGTATTATCTATTTTCCAACAAAGCCGCACCAGTGAAAACTTGGAAACTGTTCATGGAAAATCCTTTGCTGTGGTCTAGCAAGACTCTCCCGCCGCCGCCAGCCGTGTAGAAGACCGTTCCGCAACGATTTATTGTTTGTATTGAGTATCGAACTCAAAACGTTTCGCCCATTAAATTTTATCGCCGGCACCATTAGATTGCACCTTATTTTCTTTGCACACTTTCTGCGGCGCTCCATATCGACATTTTTATATTTACTTTATATTATTTTCTTTTATCTTTTCACACTTTGCAAACTACAAAGCGTCGCAGCGCGGAAACACTTGTTCCGAACATTATTAATGTTTGCGAGAAACTAGAAAGTCAATTTCGTAAATTGCACTTGAATTTATGCGCAATCTTTGAACTGGTGCGAAGTTTTCAGTATTAAAACATTGAAATTGAAATGAAGAGAGCAAGGTGGCTATGAAAAGTAAACTCTTTTATTGCCACTTTTCGGGACGACTTGAACCAACTTTATAGATATGGCGCTATTATTTCAATTCCTATATTTTGTAAAAATTTACTCCAAAAACAAAGGGCGCTCGAAAAAGCCGGGAGAAAAACATCTTCGTACGTTAAAAATTAAATAACGAAAACAAACTGAGGCGGATGTAAAAAAATAAGCACATCAAATGCACAAAGCAAACAAAAAATATATAACGCAAAGAATATATGAGCAGTTACCGCTGCGAGCTGGAATTAATAAAAGTTTTATTAGAAAATAAACAAGCTACATCCAAGCCGGAGGAGAAGAAAATTGTCTGACATGTATGCAAACTCAAAAAAACGCGATTTTTTTTTGCTTTGTGCAAATTCTACATTACAATAACAATCAATGAATAATAAATAAAATATAAATTTGGTACTTACAGTGATAACGTCGTTGTTTTTCTGGGCAACCAAACATCCAACCCCTGAAAAAATAAACAGGGTGTTATAAAAATGAACACTCAAGAAATAAACTTTCAAGGACGTTTAAGGAAGTGAAACCAGTGGAAAATTAGGAATGCGTGCACGGTATGATGATATATGAGAAGAACGCGGCGCTCGGGTAATGATATACGTCCACAAACTTGCTCTAGAGAATCCTGAAGCACCCCGGGAATGTCAAGAGAGTAGAAAGTGCAAAATTACAATATGACAGATAGCATTAGGCTTTGAGCGCGCGCACATTTTTGCCCAATCTCATTACTCATTAATGACACGTGTGATGATTTCATTCATTGCATTCATGAAATTACACTGAAAGCCTGGACAAACTCCTGTTAAGTAATTCACGCGTGGCGGCGCGCCGGAGCAAATTGCGAGAGTTGCGGAATAGTTGAAATTGGTTTGTGTCCTGCCCGGCAAGTGTCCTTGGGTGTGTGCGGGGGCGGCGTATTACACAACGCGTTATTGCATAACGTATGCGGGGGTAGACTTTAAATAGACTTTCCTACATTTGCTCATGTTCATTTCTTACCCGACCACCGCCATTACAAACATTATTCGACCGCAGGAAAGAAACAGAAACTTACCACCACACAACCAACACGCTAGGATTTGTCGCCTTTGTTGACAAGCAACTCTATTCTCCTTCCGCGCGTAAATGTAAGGGATGCACGATTAAATACGACGTGATGTGACAAAAGGGTGAAGAGCGGATAAAGATGAAAGGGCGCCTGGATTAATATCAACACTTGCACTACCCGACTACTGTGTGTGTGAAATGTTCTTTTCCTTTTGCGGTGCGTCACATTTAGTATGAAAACGTCGCCGGGGATGGAAACGCGCATCAGCATAACGTATGCGTCGGACTTAATTTACCGCATAACGGCGGGTAGGTTACAGCGCGCCCTCGGCAACAACCAGGACCTACTCCCAAGTAGCAGGTTGTTGTGCGAAATGAGTTACACGCGCACCGAGGATGCGACACTGTAGATTTGTTTCTATTCCCAGCTTCCAGGTCGGCCAGATTAATTTCGCAGCGTTTTTATTTCCTTAGAGTACGCCGGACATGAGGACAATAAGTTAATAAAACTTTATTTTAGCAGGTTTTAGGTGTCATAATAGGCAAATGTTGCATTCGCATTGAATGACCAGTAATATTTCATTATGACAAGAGTTTCGTATGCGCAGTGTGTTTGGTATTCATTGGGCTGTCAATATTAGCGCGGGTGCCATATTTGTTTTCGCGTCTGATTTGCTGCACTCTCTAACGCGCGTAGGACCGGTACGCAAACTTTGCTCAGCGCTGTTTGCACGCGCATTCGTATTCGCCGTATTTACCGTGTAGCTTGTTGCGGCTTTGTCCACACCCCCCCAAACAGGCACACAGTTCTATAAACACGAAGGCGGGCGGCGGGCGCGGTGGCGGCGAAACGTTTCACTTCGTGTGTCCGAAAACGCAATACGCGGCTGCGGCCAAACTAATTTGTTTGTTTAGGTCTTTTGACCCACGACGGAATTGCCGGCAGATGTATCGGAAATTGCAAAATGTGTTTTTGCATCACACAACTTGAAAAACCGCTAAATCTCAGCGTAAATTTAATTTTTCAAAGGTTTAAATCACAAAACCCTCGAAAAGTGATAAAACATAACCGGAAATTAAAATCCTCCAAAAATACCTTTACCGAGCCAGCAGAAATATTGCATTTGGAGAAAATCAATCCAATATCACCTGTAATGATGATCCTAACCCTGCCGTAGAAAAGTAATGGCAGTTATCCCTAATTGCCTCGTTCAGGTTTTTACATATCCCGAAGATTGCAAGCCGGGCCATTCTTCCGCGTGTGCCTGCTCCGCGCTCCTCAATATTGATGATATTGGTCGAAGAAAATCGCAACTCGCAACTTCCGAACCAAATTGAGCAGTCGTATGCATTCCTCAGCAGAAAAAAAACCTCGAGTCTTCTTCTCCCCAAAAAGGGAAACGGAATAACATACGTAGCGACGTAAACAAATTGCTAGCGCACTCCAGGGAATTGGAGATTGATCGAGTGTAACGAACCACTTGTACTTACTTGTCGATAAAATAAATATCATCGAGACGCGTTCATCCAAAACGTCTTTCCGAAAAAAAAATAAGAAAAAACTGATGATCCGTATGAATGTTCATCTATCTCCGGATAAACTTTTTTCCTAAGCGAAATCTTAGCTATTTTTAATAAAGTTAAAGCAACTCGCCGGGCATAAATATAAATAAAAGATGCGGGCGCAGGAAAAGATATTCAAACCAGATATAAAAATTTACCGAAAATGGCGAAACGATGACGAAAAAATTGCCTACACAATTTTCGCCGGGGCCTTGTCTTCGCCGGGGCACATGTATCGTCGGCGATTAAATTATACTTTTAAATTTTATTTCATCCCTTTATCTGTGTGAGCCCATTCTGTTTCTACGTGGCTCGCAACATTGCTTTACACTCATCTTTTCGTATCCTGCGATGTTTTTTAATATTCCGCGCATTTCTTTCCATCTTTTACACGTTTTTTTCCTCCGTTCGCCGTGCGCTGGAATATATTATATTTCCGAAAATTGAATTAGGACTGTTTGGATTCGAAGACATTTTCGTACAAAAAGGACCTTCGATGATTCAATTAAATATTTTTTAGGCGTGATTTTTTGCCGGTGTCCCGACCGGGTAGTTTTAGTTCTTTGTTCGGTGTTGGTTTAGAATGTTTATGCAACCGAACCGAGCTCGAAATCTACTTGTAGTTTGTTGGTTCAGCTTACACACGAAAGCCATGGTTAATCTTGCCGGAGTATTTGCGATGCAGTAACATCTAAATTCCTGTTTCAACTTCATCCGGTTTGCCGCTTTCGGCATCGGCGGCCCCGGGTGTTAGCGCCAACTTCCGGCCAGCTTCTGTTTTCTGCCCGATTTGGTTTATTTGTTTTTGCGACTCGCGCTCACACCTGCCGCGAACGCGACCATGCACAAACTGTAAATCTAAAGTCGATACAATTATCTAAAAATGTATCTAAACTTGAGGAAGCCAGCAGACTCCCAACACCGCAGGGCTTTTGTGCTCTCCTATGTTCGTGGTTAATCTTACAAGCTGGTAGTGTGAGGCTTACATGGCTTTTCAATACCGAGCTGAATATTTCACATAAACGTAGGGGGGATTGCGCAATGGAAGCAAAAAGCTTTCCGGGGAACTTTCGTGCTTGCGTTTCTCGTTTACAACTGGTGCGGTTGAGGCAGGCGTCGCTGCGGTGCACTTAACTACCAACTTAACGCGATTTGATTTAAGCGAACCCCTGAGAAGCTAAATGGCTGCTATTCTAATACCAGAAACTAATATTATATCATGCCGCAGGGCATGAATATTACATTTTTCAACTTTTTTCCATTCGTATTTGTTCGTGATTGTTCCTTGCCGCTAACAATAATAGAAAATGTGTAAATGTAAACCCGCATTGTTGATCAGATCCGATAATTGAAACCGATGTCGATTTTCAATTATTGACAAACATTAAATCCGGCGACGAAGGATAACAAATCGAACAAGCGCTGAAATCACCCAAGGTTGTTTCAGGATTGTGAGGTTAGTTGGGTTGAAATCTATATCCATAGAAATCTTACGATTATGTTGCAATCAGAGCAGTGGGCGGTTGAAATTATCACGCAAATACAAAATAATATATGGATTTAACGATATTTAGTACTCACGATGCTGACTTTGGTGATTTTCATGGTGAAAACACGATTTTTAGTTGCGATCGATGCGTCGATTAGAAATCACTTTGCAGACTCTGACTATATGCAACCACAAATGATTGTCAAGTCAAATATTTTTGCATACAGGATGGTACATAGTAATTGTCATATACAGGACTTAAAAAAACTTACCAGGACTAATTTTCCTTCAAAATTATTATCATGAATGTTAGTTTTGTTTAATATGTCAATATTTACTCCTTTGTTAGTAACTTTTGTGATGTTTTGGATAAAACTTCACTTTTTCGTTATAATCATGTGCACCCTGCAGATAGGCAACCACACATACACCTCTTTCAAAATATTTACCAATTTCCTTTCATTATCTCAATCTCCGCCTGCCGAAAACAATAGTAATTGATATTGTGTAAACCCCTCTGAATGCCGGTTGTATCCGATAATTGAAACCAATGATTGGTAATCAAAATTCCGCTGACGTCCGATTGACTTCCCAATCATTGATTGATGCACTCGCCAAAAATCATCCGCTTTTTCGCCAACTAGCAACTGTGACACCGGCTTATGACTGCGCACAAAAGTAGAGCACAAAGGAATCATTCCGGCTCACATCCCTATCCGCCTGATACATGTGAGCGCTCGACCGTGCGTGGATAGTGAGTGCATTATCAGCGCCAGAGACTATTGGCGAAATGCGCGCGGGCAGAAACTGGAATGGGATTCGTATTAATGAAGCGTTCGGCGCTGGACACGCTGGCATGTCCATATGATGCGGGAGCAAGCAATCAGTTGTGTCTTCTCAGGATACATACCATGCGGTTGAACATCACCAACATCAACTTTGACACTCACAGAACTACTGCAATTCAAACCTCAAACATCTTCAAGTGAAAGTTGAACTATAGGCAACTTTATATACACAAGTATTGAATAGGTTGCATATATTTTAATGATGACTTTGATTGGTGTCGACGTTGCAAACTGTATGAAATGAAAATGGCATTCGGATGCTTTCTGGATGAACGAGCGACGCAAGCTCGCCAGTGGGCGACAAAGTCACGTTTGCACGTAATTCTTTCGTGTGTGTGAGTGATGCGACACAATACAACAGAAAAAAAACTCACGCTGCTGGCTGATACAACGCCGCAGGAATACGAAAATAGCACGTGCATGATGAAAATTGCAAAAGTGGCCTGTCCAACTTCCAACATCGCATCCAAAATGGAAAATGCTAAATTACGGAAACGAACGAAATGGAAAAATGAAAAAAACGCTCTGTTAGCAGCTTCAGGCTTCACTAAGCAGTTCGCAATATACTGGACGTGATCGAACGCCAAAAGAAATCGAAATCAAATACTACACAACTACAGAAGCGATAAGATGGCGCCCGCAGGACGTATAATAAGAAAAGAGTTGCTCAGAGCCATTGATGAGAATGTTGATGATATCAAATAGGTAGAGAACAGGATAAAATAAAAAGAATTAGGAAAGTAAATCCGGATATTGCGTACGCTGGTTTTACACCTCTTCGTTTGAAGAGGCGCGCTGGTTCTGGATAAATAGGATGGATTTATGCGGACGGCGGGCGAATAAAGTGTGCGCTTGTAGAAATAAATGCACGTAAACGTTAGAGTAAACGTTGACTAATTGCGTTTCCGTGTTGCTTAATAAAATATCAAGGTGTGCGTTAATTGGATTTAGCGGGATGGAAAAGGCAAGCTCCGCCGGAGACTACAAGCTGAAAATTCAGGCAAACTGAGAAAAGTGCACCAAGAGGGGATTCAATTCGAAATTTAAAACTAAAATAATGTAAAATAGAAATTATATTATCAGTAGCCGGAAGTATTCCTGATTTTTCTTTATATTTTCATGTTTTGATGCAAATTGAAATCAGAAAGGAAGCTTTTATGTGAATTAACATTGATATCCGGTCGGATATAACCTAAAAATCTTTGAAACGTTATTATACATGAATGCCATGTTCAATTTTAATGATTTGGATCTTAAATTATTTTCTATATGCAAAATACATCAAAATTTAAAATTTACATTTGATTTTCATCAATTTCTTGCATTAGAAGCAAAAATATAAAGACAAAAAGGTTTTTATATGAATTAACATTGATATCTGATGGAATATAACCTAAAAGTCCTCAAAACGTCATTATACATGAACACGACGTTCAATTTTAATGATTTTGATCTTAAATTACTTTCTACATGTAAATTTTATCAAAATGTGCAATTTACATTTGATTTCCACCAATTACTAGGTTGTGAAAGGAAAATATAAAGAAAAAAGGTTCTTATGTTAATCAACATTGATATCCTGTAGAATATAACCTAAAAATCTTCAAAATGTCATTCTACATGAACGCGCGCTGCAATTTTAATAATTTTAACCTAAAATTACATTCAACATGTAAATTTTATCAAAATATAAAACTTACATTTGATTTCCATCACTTTCTTGGCTTTGAAAGGCAAATATATAGAAAAAAAGACTCTTATGTGAATTAACACTGAAATTCTGCCAGCCATAACCTAAAATCCTTAACTCATAGTCCAATTTTAATGATTTTAATCTAAAATGACTCTCTCGATGTAAAAATGTTAATTCTGCCTTGAAAAATGAGTCTAACAAGACAAGATATTTCCCACTGACGTTTTACATTAGAAGTTTTTCTTCTTTTGGTATTATCTCCATCTGTAAGCTCGATGCAAATGGATGGCAAAGCGAAAAGACATGAAAAACTCCCCGTTGGACATCTACATATATGCCGTCACAAATCCAAGCCTTCTAATGCAAGAAGATAAAGAATAAAGAAATGCGCCAATAAGAGAAGTACGAAGAGTCAGGAATGGCACAGAACGATGGAGGTTTAACCCGTTCCGTGCACGTTGAGCTTGGCGCAACTCGAGTTTCTCAAGTTTCTCGAATTTCAACAAATTTCCACTTTCATTTTTTTTTTTACTTCTCTCGAGCAGCTAAAAAGTTTCCCCTGCGTTCTATACACATATATAAATTTCCCTACACTCAGGCAGTGATCTTTTTTCTTCGACTCCGTTTTCGTGCTTTTGCTTCTTTGTGAGTCCAATTCGTTAGAATTTACCGACTTTATCTGCGAACGCCCCGACGAACTAAATGCGTGGCGGCGTGGTTTTTTCCGCGCCGAGTTTGGTTTTGCGTTTGGCGGCCGTTGAAAATTGTAGGAGGAATTGTAGGAAACGCATCTATTCGTATGGTTGGCGCTTCCGTTCAGCGATATTCGTTTAAATGCGGACGCAAAACGCATGAATGCACACACGCCGAACGCGGAAGAAGGAAAGACGGAAGGATAAGGCGCGGATTTGCTTTTTATTACCCGCGTCTTCCTTCTAGTTCTTGTATGTAGTTATCACCAGCGAGGAAACTATAAATTTCGCATTTTGTTTTTATTCAACAGTTAAAAATTACATTTTTATTTTTTGTGCTAAAATTAAAAAAAAGTTTTTTTTATATAAAAACTTGATTTCTACGCTCGGTCGGGAAGAAAATCATTTCGTAAAAAGTTATTTCTAAAGAAATATGTATTTCCTTTCAAACCATTCGCTTTTGTCGATCGTGAATGTGCATTACTTGCAATTCATTCACGTTTCACAAAAAAAGTTCTTATTTGGCAACTATTTGCACAACTGCGTTGGATTATACAATATATTGTTAATAATTCAATTAGTTGAAGTGAAACGAACTTAATTCACATCAAAGCGTGTAATTTTTAATTAGTTTCACGTTTTTTCCTTCTTGCTGCGTTTGTATGCTGCATTCAGTAATAAATCTTTACAAACGCGTTTGCTGAAAAGTAACTTCTCACCCCACGCGCGCAAAGTGAAACAAAAGAAAAGCCCGGCTTTGGCGAAACATTCCCTCCGCAGTGTCTTGGCAAGTGTGTGTGGATCCGGGTAATAGTGGCAATGAACTAAGCCCTTTTGTAAGGGACGGCTAACCTCCATCCCTTTGCGAAACTAGACTAAACTAAATCTGACCGAAATACCCGAAACACCATCGACCAAAGCATGTAATACGACTTAAATCGGATCGATTCGAAAGAAAATAGCGTAAAAAGCATCAAACAAGCAATCAAATTAGTAAATATTGAAGTAATTAGGTTTAAAACTAAATATATGAAAAGTTTTGATGGTTTTTGATGTTTGTAAATGTAATATAACGTGTTTAATTAAATATTAAATATCAAGTGGCTAAACAGGGGTTTTAGTCACGAGTGTATAATCAATCAAGCGTTTAACAACGTTTCGCCACGTGGTGCTTACGCTGTTTTTACTACTTCTATTCTATTACCAGGCGCAAGTTCCACCCCGTGACTTAAGGCCATGACTCAAGTACTTTAGTCACGATAGGCCATCCGTGTTTAAAGTATCACTTTCTGTGTCTAAAACCCATGGAAAAACTAGCGCTTTAAATGTGGAAGTTAAAAATATGTGAATTTATAATGATATTCAGTCGACAATTACATATTTTGTTTTATAAACGTAAAAGCCCTTTAATTCCTAAACCCATTGGTCAATTTTAATGATTTTAAGCCAAAAGCATTGTTAGAGAGTTCAACTAACAATATTACTTAAATTTTTCGCCAAAATCATTTTATACCAACTGGAAACAATCAAAAACGGAAACATTGCGTGCGCTATTAATTAAAATTGGATTAAGTTATTAACTCGCAGAGAAGTTTTAAGCCTGACAAATTAATAAACTCGTTGGGCGCGCATTTTCCGAATCGGATCCCCGCACACTAGACGGTCGCTAATCCGCAATTGCGCACAACACAAACTTCGGCCGCCATTGTTAACTTTTAACTTTTAACCGATTGCTCACTGGCGCGCCATTCGCGCAGAGGAAGCGAAAGTTTGTATGGAAAATTGTGCAGTGTGCACTCTGCTCACCTAATCTAGAACTGCGAATGTTGAAATAGAAAAAATCTACGACACACGATGAGTACATAAAGGTCCGTAAAGAGATTCTGACTAATACGATGCTAATGAGGAAAGTTTAACGTGTTATTCCCGAAAGTTACTACCTGAGTGAT